TGTCAATTAAGTGAGTTTTTTTTCTAAATGAACTATTTTTGTCATTTTGTTCATCAAAACTGGTATGCCCAGTTTCTGTTTTATCCACCATATGATTAAGGGGTGGTGATGTCTCCATCTTAAGCAGTTGCTCTGTGACTTCGGCAGCCTCCTTCACTTGTTCTGTCAAGGCTGTGATTTGCTTCTTTTCATTTTCCTCCCCTCCTTCTCCCATTAAATGACTGTCTTCATCTTTGGCACACTTGCGCCATGAGACTGCATCTTCTGCAGTTGAAGACACTGAATGTGAAATATCCTCCTCATCCCCTTCTTCTACTGTTGGTTTAGGCGAGAGAGCAGGCGAATCCACATCCCTGCAAGGAAATTGAAAATATTACATTCAAAATGACTTGTAATATGATACTCACATATTATCTTTTTAAAAAATATTGTACTCTAAATTCTTTACATTTAAATCTCACATTCAAATGTGTGATTTACATTAAACAATCACATTTCCTTCTATATGCATTTAAAGAAGATTGTCAGTATGTTAAAGGGATAATAACTCTTTGTATGAGATCCATATTTCACAATAAAAACATTGTTAACAACTCAAAGAAATAGAATATATTCTGTTTTACCACAAAAAACGGCAGTTATAGCTATTTTTCTGATATCTTAGCTTGTCAACGGACCACGTGACCTCTACAGAAGTCTTTACTCTGTAATAATCTCTTAAGGGATTATTACCAAAAAAAAAAAAAAACTTTTAAGAAAAAAAAAATATAGGGACTAACTTTGAATGTAGAAATGGATTCATTAACCATTGGTAAGTATGGGAAAATTGTGTTTTCATCCATGAAAATTCATTTTTTTGGCCAAACAAACAGTTATTATCCCTTCAACATCATGAACATTATTTAAAATTCAACACAGGAAATTCAAACATGACACATATTCATAGAAATATACAGTTTGCATGAAAAAAAAAAAACATAAAATATGAATCCCTGAAAAAAAAACATTTAACCAGAGAATATGCATCATATGGGGTGGTGGCCATATTGACTCATAAAAGACACCCCATGGTGATGCAAACATTAGGGGCACATACCATACATATCACCCTGATAATAATCTTCAGGATCTTCAAAAACTGGCCTATTAAGTTAATGGGGTAAGTATAATATATAAATCTGTATTACTTTCATACCTTCTTGACTCAACAAGTTTTATTGGTTAATCCACAAATAAATGGTGGTGCTCATGATAAGGAAAAAAAGGGAATATTCAACTCTGCATAGACCATGTTAAGAAATTTGAATAATATAATAATAAACATATATTTTATATATAATAATAATATAAAATATTAAACAACATTAAAAATCTGAAAGTAAATCAATATTTGCAATCTGAAAAGAAGGTATGGAAATGTTTTTCTGTGGAGACATGAATAAAAAAAAATCAAACATATTTTGCAGAAAACAAGTAAACCTGAAATAAATCAATGTTATCAATAAATTAAAGCATATATGCATATGCGTTTGAGGTAAATCAACATAACTCAATCAATACTTGTTTGCCAAACTGTTATCAAGAAATTTTATCAGTCTGAGCTAGGTACACCACCATAGCTACATAACATACGAATATACATAAATTTTAGGTTCAAAGAAACTTTTTGAGTCCAATTTCATTCTTGAGCTGATCCAAATTGTTTTGTCAATGGGAATTTTGTGCAGCAGTGTTCTAATCTTTTAAAAGCAGGCAATAAGAGCTTGCCTTCAACAAGACTCCATGACCTAGAATGTTGAAATATCAACACATTAGCCTAGTTTAGCAGTACAGTCAAGGTCATCAAAAATCTACAGCTACAGGCTATAAGCATCTGTAATAGGTTCTCCAAATGATGTCTGCTTGTGAATCAATCATGACTTGCAGAAAAACAGGACTCATCAAGTTCACCACAAGACAGCCACATTTATGATAACCTAATATACATGTTACTTGTATATCCCTAAGTTATACCTATCCTAATCTGCCATGTGTAATTTTTAACAAATGCACATATACACTAATATTTGATCATACAGCCATGGCATAGCATAGAGAATGCCTCACACATTTGTTACAAAACTGTTTTTGTAGGCATTCTTCATTATAACCTCTTACTATGAATAATGATGGGACCCAGACATCTGACTTGGATAAGCTGCCCTAACAAGGATAGACTAAAATGAAAAGTAATTGACTTATAGGCTATTATTACACATTAAAACTTCAAACAACAGTTTTTCGGTCCCTTGGAACCTCAAAATTGATCACTACAGCATTTGTGTGTAGTAGGTATAGTAAGACTTGAGAAGCAAAAGGCAACACACTTGTATATGAATCTTACTCAGCACTACCAGGTCAAATAAAAACAGCCTTTTATGAGCTGTCTGCACAACCGATGTGAGGTGTATATAAAACAATTTCTCCTCAAACTATATATAAGATTTGAAGAATTTACAGTATAGTACTAGTATGAGAATCACAAAACTCCCATATATTTAATGAAGTATTTTCAAGAGAAGTGAAAAACATTAACATGAAAGAGGGTGAACATAAAATACTATGTAGCCATAGGTTGATATCAGAAAGGAGTTCAGAAATCTTTATGACAAATAGCTTCTGCTTAATACATTATTCATGTACATAACAAAGCCTAACAAGGCCTGGAGTTGTCAAGTTTTAATTTCTTAAAATCTGAAACGCATTTTGACTTGGTCCATTTGCTGAGAATAAAAAACCCAATGCTTCAACAAAACAATATAATATATGCCAATCCTTAAGTCCTCAGATTTCCTCCTCAATATATGGTAATATAGCATCTAGGGATAATGTTTCTATTATATGAACAAAAGCGTTAGCTCTCAGTTTAATTTCAATTTGAGATATAATTATATCGTAATCATGTAAATCAAAACTGTGTTGTTCCCACCAAATCCATAATCTCCTTTTTATGAACTTGTTTTCCCTGTTAACTAAACTACTGACTGCTGGTCAATATATGTACCTTTAGTGCTTATCTTAAATAAACATCACAAATTATTATTCTGCAGGTATTGCCACCACTGCAGGTTAATTATAACCAAAATGTTACCTTCTGTCTCTTATAAATGGATCTGAAACACCATAATTTTCCTACTTTATGTCTTATGATATTAATCTGTTTACTGGGCTTCATTTTTTACAAAGCTGAGATACTAAATCATGTCCAATATTATATTCCAAAGAAAGCCACATTAAGCATGTGATATTCCATGGCAATAGGAAAAATCAGATAGGTAATTCAACATACATGCTTCGGTATTCACAGCAACAGAGCCATTGCACTCTCATACAAAGGACTGTTACTCAAAATGGCTGCTTTACTCTTAACATGTGTAACATAGCAGTCTACTAGCACAGCAGCATAAAAAGCCTGACCTAATTTACAGATGAAGCAGACGCACTCAGTAGGGAACCTCAAGTAATATGAAGGAGCTCTGTCCTCTCCCATCTTTTGTCCTTTTGATTCCAAACACTTCAAAGGCATTTTCCTTAAAAATTTGATAAATGAAACTCTATATAAAGTGGAAGGAACGAACTCAGAAAAATCCCACAGCAAACGGACTGTATGAGAAACCTTCAAGGTCAGCCATATTGAATCAATTAGCAGTGGAATAAACCAGACATCCAGTACGAATAATGTAGCTGCTTACCTTCAAGCAAACTTACCTTCAATGAGTTACAAATCTTACAGCAGATTATAGTCTTACTCCAAATGTAATTTTTCAGACACAAAGAAAGTATTTTTCTTACTTCATGATTCTTCATGAGGAACTGGCCAGGTTAATGGAACTATAATATAAACAGAGAACTGAAAATGTTAAAGCTGATATATTTAACTCCTTCAACTTTAATATGCAGATATATAAATATCAAAGTGAAAAAGAAACAAGCACTAAATATGCATTTTACCTTTATAAGATGCAAAAGCTGAAAAAAATTCAGGATGCTACCATATCAGCACTGTCCGTAATTGGAATAGCAAACAGTTAGCCTCCGCTGAGTACTACTGTAAGATAGACAGAAATCAGGTAGGTGCTTTGTAACATGTGCATTCTGAAATAAGATATTTCACATTTGATGAACTGCAGTTCCTTTGTGTCCATATCAAATCCTGGTCCGGTAAATATCTCATGAGAGACAAATATATATTATCTACAACTATATATATATATGTCATAATACTGTATAACATGAATATCTGGAATGCTCACAACTTTTTAAAAATTTTCTTGATCAACTGAACTGAAGCCAGAGTACCACAAGTATTTCTAAAACTAAAATGTTATTAAGAGACGAGAGAGATCCTGGTTTTAAATGGATCCTTCTAAAAACATGTAGGACAAGCATGCACATGATCCTCAATACTATCCTTACATATGCTAATCATACAATAATTCAGATATGTCTATAAAAACCAAATAACATAATCTGCTCCAATATTTTCTTCTCAAGTTTCTAAACCTAAGAAAAGATCTCAAGCCAACTAGCAGGGGATAAATATATGACTGGCATTTACAGCTGGAGAATAAAAGTCACAATTTTAAGACAAAGAAAAACTGGAAAAATGTCAATCAACCTTTACCCTCACTAAAAAACCTAGCTCTTGTGCTTCAATTTATATTCTAACATCCGAATGACCTTCATTAATAACCGTTGAGGAAATGCTGATATGATTTTCAGTTAGACTCACATCATAACTTACACTTAACTATGGTATCACTGAAAATCATCATCTGCTAGGTAAACCACACTACTTGTTCAAATATTGGATTTTTATTCAAGACATTGACATGTAACATAAACCCAACATTGAAACAAATGTCTTCTTTTGGTCTTTGAATAATCAAAGTATTGATCTTGTAACACAGCTTGCAGATCTAAGCATGTTATTCAAGACTCACAGTTCATCCCTTGATTCAGTCAGGCAACACAATGACAGGTGCACAGTGTCCTGAAGACAACTTTAACCTGAAAACCATGAACATAGAGAAGAACATTATGCTAATAGAAATTTTACATTCATGACCAAATGTGGTTATATTAACTTCCTGTGGCACAAATAAATATCAAACACCTATTTCAAATCATATGATTCCCCACCGTTCATCTTTAATTTTTATGAGAAAAGCAAGCACTGCCATTAACACTTAAACATGATATTTTTACATTATACTTCATGTAAATATCCTAACATATATCCTTCAAAATCCATAAAGTACATAATTAAAGGCTTCATGAAAGTCGAAGTCATCTACTTGTTAAGGTTGACACATATGGCTTCATAAATTCTTCAATTTAAAAACTCCCACTCAAAATACTTGTAAACAGAGAGGTACATGTATTTGACCAGTGGGAATGCAGTCTACTTCCACACACTTTGTGGGACTCACTCAGGCAGGCATTTGTTCAGGGCATGTGCAATTTGAATATCTTTTTTTCTATCTTGCTAGGATACAGTCTGCCTGGGGTCGATCAAGTTCTGATCAGGAAATGACTTATCATAAGGCAAGGTCCATTTTAGACAGGTTTATTAAATAAAAAATGTATATATCAACATATTCAAAATAATCTAAAAGATATACATGACTTTCAGAAGTTATGGCAGATTCCTTTGATAAATGAGCTCAAAACTTCAAAAAAGGAAATATTATTTATTAAAAATATCATACTTTATGCTTCTGTAAAAAGAACTGTCCATTAGAAACATTAAAAAAAGAACGGAACTTTTTCAAACTGTTGAAAAAAACCAAAGGTGCCTTAATCATTTACAGGATACTTTTTGGATTTTAGCAGATAAAAACTGTTTAATTAGTGCCCATTATAAACAATTTTAACAAGCTGCAATTCTCTTTTCTAATAAGTCTTAATCTCTCAAAAGATATCATTACACCTCTATAGCTGAGTTATAAGTCTTGACTTAAAAGGCCTTAAAACAAAGGCAATTTGGCACAGTTGCTATAAAAAAAACAGTAGTCCATGATGGGATTGTTTAAACATGTTATTATTAAACAAGTCAATCCGTAGGAAATGCTGCTCTTGCATTACTTCCTACAAAAACTTGTATGCAATCCTTTTAATGTTGAAAGCAAACAGTTTAATCCATCCCATTCCAATCAAGGTAAAAACTTCTACCGTGAAAAGCTCGAGAAAAATTCAACAATAAAGCACTTACCTTTCCAGATTTTCATAACCAGACTTTAAGTTGCTTGTGCTTTCTAATCTCCATGATTAGGTTAAAACCCATTTCCCTTCATAAAGTCCAAGTGTAGAACACCAGCTACCATCACAGATATTACTTCCATAGTGACTGTTTATCAAATAAAGGTCAGGGGCTCCACAAATGTGAGCATTACACCACTGGACTCACTTTGGTATGGTACTTTTTAATCAAATGCTTGACATATTCTAATAAGGCAAGAAAAACATAAAATATTGTGAAATATGGCAAATTCAACATTCATACAGTTCAAAGTGTTGATTTAAATGAATCAATTATCCAGCTATCTGAAAAAATAAAAAAATTCCACACCTGACTGCAAAAGGTCCATTCTGCAAGTAACACTACTGAGCCTTTGTTAAAAAAAAAGAAAGGCAATGAGTACATGTGTATAAAACACTTAATACAAACGTGACTAACTCACTCACAGGATAAAATAATGTTTTTCAATGTGCAATATAAACTTTCTGACAGTTTAACAACAAACCAAAATAGGGCATCCACATTTTGGTTCTCAAAATACAAAGTTCAAATGTTAATAATTTTAAATCAAAAGCAATAAAACAACACCTGAAAACAAAATGAATGTACAGACAGAAATGTGTGGATGTGTAATGTTTATAATCAAGCCAGTGGTAAACACACTAGTATCTGCGACACTCATTCTTCGCTGTGCTTTGATCAGGACTGGCCTCCTTCGCTTTTCAAGTTTCAGCCGTCATTGGCAGCAGACTTCACTTCGAACCGGTCACCATTTTCCTCACACTGTCACCTTTGTGTCCACTAGAAGGGAAAAAATGAAAGGTTCATAACTAACATATGCATATGTAATGCATACAATGTTTCACTTACTGCGTCGGACTCTCCGGATCATAGAAATCCATCTTCCCCACAAACGTCAGTGATCAGATCGAAACAGGAGCCAGTCAATTTCATTAGATTGAATCAAATGGCAAAAGAAGGTTTAAGATATATCGGCACGCACATTAAGTATACAGAGCATCAGCAAACTCAAGTCCTTTATATCGAGTTAGTTTCCATTATTCATAATAGCCTTAGATTGTGCGTCCATTGATGTTGCACTACCACTCAGGAACCGCGTTGTTCTACTTCTCTTCCATGATGCTCCACTATGACCTGATTTACACATCCGGGCGTTTGGCCTTTAATTTATTCTACAACCTGACTTAACATTTTTTTTAATATGGAGAAGGTAAAACATTTTGGGACATTTGGAAAGGAATTCAAACAGAATGAAAAGTATCTACTAAAGATTTAAACATTACTCTGAAAAAAAAAATAGTTTACGGAAGTGACGTCAGCATAGTTCCCGCTGTAGTGAATCATTCTTTGTCTTAGGCGCAATCAAAATCAGAAAACATCGGCTTAACTGAGCCATCTCTGAAGGTATCAAGAAATTCAGGTAGAAAAGGAATTTCCCAGCTATCGCATGTCCGAGGATATTCAGAATTTAAAACCCTTCGGTAAGTAATTTTGCCTCTAGATTATACATATATGTCCAGTTCACGACCTTGTTTATTTACTGCGAAGTTACAGGCCCTCATTATCATATGCCAAATAGATATGTGTTATTTTTGTAAATATTGCATGTTGGCTTTTATTTTAAGCATACGCCCCCGTTCATTGTTGTCGAACCTGTTTTGAGTTTTGGTTGTAATATCGATGATGAGGGAAAATAACCCCTAAATAATAACTTGGCTGTTGAGTGTAATGGTGGAGTTTAGTCACGAGACTAAGGGCTTTGGTGTTTATAATAGTGGGTTTTAAAAATAAAATACAATTAGAATAATAATAATAAAAGTCACATGTTTTCTTTTCAAATGCCTCTTACCAAATGACAGATTTTCTCAAATAAGTACGTTTTCAAATATGTAGTTTCTGGCTGTGGCAACTTAAAAAAACTGGATTAAGGTTTCAGTCTTCAGAGTGTATATGTGCAACAATTGTTAACATGAAGAATGAATTCATTTCTTCTCAATCTACCACCCATCCGCCCTTTTGATCCTTTTCACCCCACCTGTCTTTTCTTCCTCTTCATAGAGTTTTTTTTTTTTTAAGCTTCAAGCACTTATACCCCATTCACACTACAGTCATTTATTCGAATAAATAGCGAATTAGGTCCTGATTTGAATAACTTTAGTAGTCTGAATGTGTGAGATTATTGTTAAGCAGATTTTCAAAATCCTGCTAGCGAGCTGGATTTTCTTCAGTGATTCGAATAACTTACCGGAATCGACACCTGTACAGATCTTACTGCGCACGTGTGCAGATAAGTGCGGGTATTTATGAACGCTTGTTTATTACTTTAGTGATTGCACCAAACGTATTTGGAAGTCACCACTCACAACAACATGAGGAAACATAAACATAATTTGCCATCTGATACTTCCCAAGAATGCTGGAATGTCTTTTGAGTTGCATTTGCCATCACAAATTTTTGTTGGTATTTTGAGTGTTCCTGTGTGGCGCATGCACGAGCGTTCAAAACAGGAAGTTTAACCTGAAATTTTCAACGCAGGTTTCGCTACACGTATGTGAACGCAATACCGATTCGATTTTCCTCACGAAAAATTCGAATTATAGAAATGCACATTTTTGCAACTGTAGTGTGAAAGGGGTATTAGACTCTAAATTTAATGAAGATGGGGTAGTAGTATGTGATTAAAGCCAGGAGTTACATTTTTGTTTGGGACCATTCAGAATAGATGATCTGAGTACTAACTGATCCACCGACTAAATATGGCTGACCACACTTCAAAAGCGATGCCACCAATTCCTGTTGGTCTCCCAGCCACCACATGCGTCATTTAATGAATTAAATCTCAGTTCTGAGGTTTAATTGCGAGGCCTCTGCAGCAATGGCATGTGTGGAGGCAGGGAGACCATCATGGAATTAGCGGCATCACTTCTGAATTGGGGACGGAGATATTTAGTTGTCAGATCAGTTGGTACTTGGAATAATCTATTCTGAATGGCCCCTTTGTTCTGTATAACAGGGAATAATCTAGACAGTGTCCATGTCAATGGCCTTCCACTGTATTCAGCAGTATAATTATAGTTATTGAGCAACTTGAGGGGGGGGGGCACTTTCATGAGTATGATTCTCATTTTGTGACCCACAGAACTTCAATCAGTAGTATTGATTAATTTAACATTAATTTTAAAAACATTTAGTTGATGTAAAAGTACTAAGTGACATATGGTTGGTATGCATAAGAAATGACTTGGTCCTCCAGGATTGAATGAGTAAACCTATTGGCCAAAAACAGAAATATAATTTGGTAAATAAACAAATTTACACAATTTTACTGGCCCAGCTTCACTTTGCTGGCATTTGGAGTAGAACTAATGTCAACATTGCAGACTGGGTTTATAAAAAAATACTTTTCTTAACTGATCTTCTCCCTTGTAGATCCTTTTGGTGATGCATCAAAGGATGAAGGCCTTGGGATTACTGGTCAAGAAAGTCTGATACACATACGTATACAGCAGCGGAACGGAAGAAAAACATTGACAACTGTGCAAGGACTGTCTACAGTGTATGATTTGAAGAAAATAGTGAAAGCTTGCAAAAAGGTATTACTCAGTTTAAAAAAAAATTTTCTTTTCAAGTTTTATTTTCTTATTTTCAGATACTTATCTCAATGTTTTATTTATTTTTACTGCCAAAAAAGAAAAAAAAGCCCAGTTTCACCAGAAAATTTTGAAGGATACGGCTTTTGGCATTTAAATAAAGCCCTTATCTAAATTTAGTTAAGAGTATCATCACTGGTTTTTTCCTTCTGCCAAATTCCTGAGATGGTATGTGTAAGAGTCTTATTTTTGTTTTAGGAATTTGCTTGCAATGGTACTGTAGTGGATCACCCAGAGTATGGTGAAGTGATTCAAATGCAGGGAGACCAGAGAAACCATGTCCGGGACTTCCTAAAGTCCATGGGGTTGGCTAAGGAAGACCAGATCAAGGTATAGAAATACAATTGTAAATATTTTCTTTATTTAAAGGGATAATAACTCTTCGTTTTGGCCAAAAAATGAATTTTCCCAGAGGAAACAACAATTTTCCCATGCTTACCAATGATTAATGAATCCATTTTTACATTCAAAGTTTGTCCCTGGTTTTTTTTTCTAAAAAGTTTGGTTTTTTGTTAAAATCTCCTAAGAGATTTTAACACAGCCATCAATGGAGGTCACATGGTTTGAAGACGAGCTCAGATATCAGAATAATAGCTATAACATGCTTACCAATGATTAATGAATCCATTTTTACATTCAAAGTTTGTCCCTGTTTTTTTTCTAAATAGTTTGGTTTTTTGTTAAAATCTCCTTAGAGATTTTAACACGGTATAACCATCAATGGAGGTCACATGGTTTGAAGACGAGTTCAGATATCAGAATAATAGCTATAACTGCTGTTTTTGTCGTAAAACAGAATATATTATATCTATGAGCTATTCACAATGTTTTTATTGTGAAATATAGACCTCATACGAAGAGTTATTATCCCTTTAAATGTTTCAAAATTAGATACAGTGGGCAATTAAAGATTTACAGAGGACAATTAAAGATCAGAACATAAAGAATTTAGAATGTAAAGAGCCTACTAACATGATCTTAATAAAAACTAGAAAAGCATTTGGAGAGCGTAGACCTCCGCCAAGGCAGCAAAGTCTCCATCCAATGATTTTCAATAATTTTGATTATTGATTGATTATTGATCCGGATCACCACCAAAAACTATTCATCTGTTCCTTGGCCCACTTCTGACAGTTCCTGAAAATTTCATCAAAATCGGTCCATAGCCTAGTTTTTTGATTATTGATTATTGATCCGGATCACCACCAAAAACTAATCATCTGTTCCTTGGCCCACTTCTGACAGTTTCTGAAAATTTCATCAAAATCAGTCCATAACTTTGCGAGTTATGTTGATGACAGACAGAAAGACTGACAAACAGGGGTGAAAACATAACCTACTTGGCAGAGGTAATAAAGCCACTCCAAAAGATGATGTAAATGGGCAGTTGTTATCACTCCTATAATGCTTTTAAAGTCAAAGAATATTATGGAAAACGGTTGCTTTAAAGCATTCAATTTTTTAATTGAAAGTTTATAGGGATGTATGTTTTCTTGGTAACTTATTAATATTTTTTTATTATTATTTATTTGCAGGTTCACGGATTTTAAAGAACTTTAGATACTGAGCTACAGAATTTATATCCATACATTTGAAGGAGGAGAAATTTGACAACCATAGCTTTACACACAAACTGACATTGTCTGCATGTAGTGCAGCTTTTATAAACTGAAAACAACAATGTATTTGCACTCTGTGGATCTCTATTGTGTTGTCCTTTGATATTCTTTTGATTTAATACCTCCAGTATTTATCTGCAGTACAGTACTTTCAGGTTATAGTGTAAAATGCTATCAATTGCTTTTATTTTTAAACTGCTCGGAAATAATTGAAAAACTCCCTTGGTATTTTTTCTAAATAGGTAATTCTAGTGTATCATGTAATCTTTTTGTATAAGAAATGTTTGTATTTTGATTTTTGAGAAACTGACAATAAAATTATTATGAACCATTTTAATAAGTGTTTCCCTGTTACTTTTAAGTTATAGTGATATGAAGGGTAAAAGTAATTTGTACAACTGTCTACTACTACAACCACTCCCTTAAAACCAGTTGATGTAAATTCTCATTTTCCTGCGACAAAGCAAAGCATGCAGATTGCTGTTGCTAAACGGTACCAGGATTTCAACTTTTTGTCTCCAACACCAGCACCCACTCCCCATCCATGTAAACTAGTTTTTGTTCTTTGCAAGGTGATTTTAAACTTCCAAGCTTCCAATGGGGACAACTAACAAAATTGTGCTGATCACACGTAGGGTAAGAACACAATGCTGTATAGCATGTGCATTCAACAGAAGTGTTTTACGCTCATCAATTCAAAAACGAAAGTTAGTTTTTTTTTTCTTTTATTCTCCAAGATCATCAAATAAATTAACCAAAACCAGCATGTTACAATTCAACTGTTTACAACATGCACAATAATGTAAAGGTTGCCTGTGATTCTCACGTAGGGCATATTTTGAACTTGACTAATGTCAAAAGCATATCAAAGCACCAAAAGTTAATTGCAGAATTTCTTGGTAGTTGCAGGAAATAAGTCTCTGGAAAATATGGAACTAAGTGGCAATGAGAAAAAGGTTTTTTTTCTTGATACTGCATAGACTTGGTTGAATATCTAGAACCCATAAAAGGCCATATGTTTTTGAAATGTTATGTTACTGATATGTGACAATGTATTTCTATTGTATCTTGGCAAGTAATTGAATTAAGTTGTAGAGAAAAATGCTACAAGCTTTTCACCAAACTTTGCCAAGAATATGCTGAAAGTTGATAACATTCATTGTACCACCATATTACACTTTCACTGTCATGCAAGTTATAATATGGATGTATTATGATAAAATGACCTTGCATATTTTCAAAGCCTTGTTCTCTAAAGTCACAAAATTAAGAACTCCCAGACTATTATATTATAACATTTTTGTATGTGCCGCAGAGACAAAAATAGGAGCAAATGAAAAAGCTGGTTTTGTTCAGATTGTCACATGTCAATGCTTAAGTACACATTGACAGGGTTTTATCAAAGATGCATCATGTATATATCTATATATAATTTACCCAATATTTTATTTAGACCTTAAATGCTGCAACATGAACTGAATAACCATATATTTTTGTTACAAAAGAGCAGAGATACTGCTGGACCTATCACAGTAAAAGTTTGGTTCACATTTTTCAGGAGATATATTCAGGGTTTTTTTTCCCACTGGTTAGCCTATTCATCATGCATTGGTGATCATTTTCAAACAAAATATGTGATGAAGAACCCAGAAGTTGATATTATCTTTCTGTTTGTTAAAATCGAAGTTATGCCATACAGACAGTACATGAGAAAATCCCAGTCAATGGAAGCTCAGAGGTTTGCTAAATCAATGTCAGTATCACTACCTCTAACATGCTGTAATAAGTTCTATACTTGGTGCTTGACATGGGAAATGCTGCTGTAAAGGAGGCCAAATATTTTACTAAGCTGACTGTATATTTGGCTACATTAGACCCCTATATCAATCTTAAACACCATTAGAGATGACCACAAACTGATCTTCCATAAATATTGTAGCAGTGAACAATTAGGTTATCGTACATTGGTGCACAACCTTTGGTTATCTTAGAATGTAAGCAAGCCAGTTTGACCTATCAGGGGATCTGTAACATGCAATACATCCAAGTAATATAGCTCTTTTCAATCAAAAGTATATATATATATACATATTTGAACTAGTTAAATAACAATGGCAAAAGCAAATTGCCTTGGCCTTAAAAAGAAAAAAATATATTGGAAGCTACAAAGCAACACCTACTTAGTGTAAAGCACAATAAAACTGAAATAAGAAAAGAAGGGGGAAATAATTACTTGAGCTTTAAGCATACACCTTATATCCAAGAGTATTAGTTCCATGACATTGCTTTGAATAATAACTCAATCTTTTCTATCAACACAATCCAAACTGTACCAAATATCACACAGGTCATTAAATACTCTGATGCCACCATAAATTCTCAGTGCTACTGTGCAGAACAATGCAATGTGTTGGCAAGTAACAGCACCACCTTTGAACTATTTTTCCATTTTCTATCCAGTATTTAGATGTACAACTCCATGAAAACTGTACTCCAACACACAGTAAGCCACAACAGTGCTTTGCTACCCCTTCATACAGTATGGTACACCATTCACATGAATTTCAAACTTATCACTCAAATCCTTTAGTTTAGAAATATCCTGCATCTGACAGTAGAACAGCAGATATCAATTCACTGTCAATTTTCTATCCATATCAAGTTCATTGAACATCACTCAGTGCTTAAATAGTAGCTTAACCTACTAATTTGACCAAACATCAACAAATCATTGGTATATTAAATACAATCAATTTAATTATATTTATAATATGATAATAAATTCACAATAATAATAATAATAATACATTTCAAGTGTCAAAAATATCATACAGTTTTAACTTTTTTTACCTTTTTTTCTGGAACAGTCATCTTAGTAAGCAACAACCAATTAGATGACATAGACATTTATACACACAATCACATGAGGTTAATGGTAAAAATGAGAATGGCAACATGAGACAGTATGATTCTTTAAATGCTATATGAAGGTGGCGAATGTTTTTTTATCCAATAGATACTGGTGAAACAGCTGTCCCTACTAACAAATTACAATTCATAATACAACAAAGTTGAGCTAAGCCCTACGCAAACTGTAATTCAATTCAAGAACATTCACCCAACTATTAGCAATCAAGTGGGCAACTTCCACCAAACAAAGAATGATTAACCCTGAATAATTATCCAATAATAATATGAAATAAAATTGCACAAAATGTCTTGCAAATATAGGGATGATTTGTACTGTTGTCCATATGTTAAGTGTTTACCTCATAACCAAAGCTCAAATGATTATACATGCAAGTCACATAGGCTGTCTACACTGCTCCGAAGGCATTTCTATAATGTATGAAGTACTCGGGCAAAGCAATATTGCTCACAGCACAGCAATTAAGAAAATGCACTTGGAACATTTACCTTAAGCCAAAACATTCCCTTAGTGAAGCACAATGACATCACCTCCCCATCTTCAAAACCATCCTCAAAACATGCAATATACAGTAGACAGAAGACAAAAGCAGTGGAAGCTATCTGCCAATATGTCATGGTAGGCATACACTGTATCATGCCCTCCATTCCTTTGTTCTGGAGCCTTTTCTGCCATGACTTTCCACTTACAATCCAGCTTCTTAACACGATCACTTTGCAGACAATTTAACTGTTTCTTGCTCTTTCCTTCTATCCCTTTCCTTGTCTCTGTCCCTGTCTTTCCATTCACGATTATCCTTTGCTCTGCGACCTGTCTGTGGTCTAAAATCCTTGGATTCACTGTCACTGCGAGCCAAACCTTTACTAGTACCAGGTGTTTTACTTGTCTGTGCATTTTCCTTTAGTGTACCGGGTTTAACCTGGTCTCCAATTTCCTGCTCAGCCTCAACTGTCAGCAGTTTCTTGACCTCTGTGGCCTCGCGTTCAGCACGTTCTTTGGCTCTTTGGGCCATTTGGGCCCAGCTTAACTTCGCTGGCTCCTATTATAAAGAAAAGTAAAACAACGGATGTTAATTTTATAGTACTTTTAACAGTGTCATTAAATGTTCGGAGTTTAGCTTTTATCTGCTCAGAGTAATCCATTTTACAACTTCACAAGCTAAAAAGAAGTACATTTCTATCAACTGATTATTCATTTATGATCACACAAACCTGGGATTGCGTTGGGTGACTGGAATTTTCCTTGTTATCTTCTTTCGTTTCTATTACACCATTCACCTCTGGCTGACTGTGAATTTTCTCTACAGTATTTGCTGCAACTGCAGATTTGCTAACCCTGTAAGAAACAATCGTTTCACCAAGTGTCAAATTTTATTTTGTTAAATTATTGCTGCTGTTAAGTCAGGAATATGTATCTTCAAAATCTTCGTCTAGTGTCATTTTCTAACAAAATGGGTCAACATGTCTAAGAGTGTTCACAATGAATCTACCATACTAGCTAGTGCTTTCTAACTCCACTGGGACTCCCGCTAAATGCAATCATTAACAGTTTAACATGCCTCCTCGTTTCCAATGAACTTGCATAATAACCGGTTTTTCTGTATTCTGCTCCCTGAGGAATTAGTGCGCACTAGTGGGTACAATTATTCCTTGCAAACAGCCCCGAAGACTATCTCGTCTCCGTATCCCTAATATGATAATTAGCTCCCAATGGACAGAGAAGTCTTAGCTGTCCACCACCACTACCGTAATTGAAGCACACCCTGCGCCAATGGGAAAACTCCCCAAGGTAAATAAGAAATCATGCTGAGATGGGTGAAAATTAATCAAGTTGACCCAACTCGACTCGTAACAAAACATCCAGGAATTGTCCACAATTAGAACCAAATTTGTCTGCAAATACTTGTCTAAATCTCTGTCACAGGGGATGTACTAGGTACAAGACAATATCTCCACTTTGCATTAAGTATTGCATTACGTACAGCAATGTAAAGGTCCTTATGAACTTACTTTTGTGGTGAAGAAGGTGGTGTAGGCAAGGAGTCGGTGCCATTTGTCATGGTGGCAGAACCTTTGTTTTCTGACTGAGCTGAAGTTGTGGGATGATTTGCTACTGCTGGTGTGCTAGTGGTAACACTGCCATTTGTGTTAGCACCATTTGAAGGTTTTTGATCACGAATGGAAGGCTTGGCAACTCCTTTGACCACATCAGATAATTTATTCTCAAATACTTCACCAACTGAAGCATTATTCTGAAAGGCAAATTGTAACAAAACATGGTGATCTATTCCTATTTCTTTTAAAATCCTTTTTTCAATGTTTTACGAAAGTGAATGGCACTATCCATAATTATTTCAGTTTTCTATGACAAAAACATCTAATTCTTTTGAAGTTCAATGCGTCCATGTAATTATTACCTTTATAAAACCTCTTTAACAAACTTGGAAGCAACTAACAGTGTCACAGAAAATTCTGCTTTTAAAGCTGCTTAAAGGCAATATTTTCTGTACTACACAAATGCCAAGTAATGAACACTCACTGTTGACCCTGGCAAAGGTGGGAATGAAGTAGCCTCTAGTTCAAATTCCTCCGGTTCAAGTCTGTACTCTTTGGCAGTATATGGATTGGAATTCTGTAAGAGATTTTGTTAAGCAGAAAAATAACTTTCTTTCCTAGCTTCATGTGTCTTTAAAATAACTGTTTTTCATTCCAATCTTCACATTGAAGAAAAACCATCTGTACGTATTCTACATATTTACTTACCAGATTTCTAGCACCATCTTCCTTCCGTCTTCTGTTACGAAATTCATTTATTCTACTTCGCCTATAAGCAAAATTCTATTGCTATTAATAATGCAAACAAATCTCCAACATTGTTTCTTTATATATATATATATATATATATAAATATATATAACCTTACATCATCTAACCTTACATCATCTTAATTATTTCGATAATCAAATCATTTCTAGAGAATGTAGACAAATCAAGTGATGCTTTTTAAATATATATAAGTAAGACAAATGACTTCCAAAAGTTCACCTTGGGGGCTGTGTTGTCTGGTCTTTTACGGTCACCTCCATATGTCTTGGCCCCAGCACCTGACCATTGTCCGAGGCCGTGGACGAGTGAGACGTGGCATGGACTGGGTACGAAGAAGAGGTGGAGGAAGACAGAGAGCTGTGGCGATGACTGGACATGTGACTAGATTGGGAAGGATCCACATTTGACGTAGGGTTGTTGCCACCATGAAGAGAACTGCTAACAGAGCTGTGGCGATGTGTCTCAAAATTTGGTTTGGCCTCTGACATCCTCTCTGGGTTGCTCTGTGTACGACCATGTTGCTTCACTTGGGCCCTAGATTGAAAAAGTGATTTCAAATATTCATTTTCATCATGGGCGTATCTTCAGTCAATGTACATATTTAACATTTTACTTCAAACAACACCTACCATGACAAAAATTGAAGCATATCTGCTAAAAGGTTTTCAAAGGGAAATATGTCTATGATACCACAAGGTTTGAAGTTTAGATTTACACCCCCAGTTGTCAAGTAAGACATTAAAAGCCCATTATAATCAGTGTTTGCTCTCCATTTTCCCTTTGTACAAGGTATCAAATGCAAAACGGGTAAAAGCATTGGAATATTTTGTAGTGTTACAATTCCAAAAGCTTACCTATTTCTTGGACTCTGGAAACCTGATCTTCCTGTACTGTTGCTGAGCTTAAACCCTTGAGGCTGATATCCATTGGCTGCAAATACCTTGAAAACACAAACAGAATTAGCATAAATTTCTTAGAATTTACAATGAAATGAAAGAGAGAAAAAAGTGAGCATACTTATTGCAATTCCTACCATTGCTACTAACTGGAAATTACACTGATACAACATAGAATCTTACAATCTCAGAATCTCACTCACCATTCCTGGATCAAAAAATGGTGGGCTTGTGGGTGACCAAGCCATCACAGTGTTTGGAGGGTAAAATGGGAAAGACTGAAAAAATTGAAACAAAGGAATGATTATATAGCATGTAGTGGGAAAGACTTGTAACCAATCAAAAACTTTACTAAAAACGTAGGATAACTTGCCCTTCAGCACAGCCTCTATGCAAAACTTTTAAATTACTGGAAGATATCATGCAATTACAATACATGTTGAATAAACAAAATTTAGCTGCTCCACTCTCAGAGCTGACCTGTGGTCCAGCAGTATTAACATACTGCACTGGCATGGGAGGCAAAGGGGTGAACTGGGGCTGTGCAAATCGTGAGGGTTGCTGTGGGAACGCTTGGGTGCCGCTCTCAAACCCTGCTGACTTGATCCCATTTTTTGGGACAAATGTTCCACGAATGATAGGTTTTGCCTTGATTCTTGCCTAGAAATAGTGTGATAAAAATGTTCCAACCCATATAGCCTCAATCTTAATAGGCTCCATTATGATGTATCAATGTCAGAATAATTTCAATGTTTATAGGAAATTAAAGCAAACAATAGTTAAATCTGTAAGTTTTTATTCCTAAATATGGCTTTAATTATGTAGCAGAGTCAAAATAGTAATAGATATTCTGAAATTCACATACCATAATTGGCTTCCCAAGAAAAGTCTTCACTTCCTCCCTTAAATACTGGTATGCTCTTTGTGCATCTTCGTCTGAGTTGAAGGTGACATACCAGCAGTCCCCATGTGCAAACTCGCAGCTCACAAACAGTGGGCAGTTTTGTCCTGAGAACAGATCCTTTACATCCTAAAAGACAAAGAATATGCATGAAAGTTTATAATAATGTCCAGTCTAGGTATTTGACCCTTCACATAGTAAAACATTCCTAAAAACATGTCACTGGCAAAAAAAAAAAAAAAAAAAAAAAAACTAAGACATGCTTTAAAATATGATTATGCTTTAAAATATAATTACTTCAATGTACCTAACCATTCACTTGTGGTAATTTGAAAGTTAACAAATCATCAGAGAGAAATAATTTCCTCAGAATAAACTTAACTGGAATCAGAGGACTGAACATTTCTGAAATGATACATGCTAATCAATAAGCGGCTGCAACAGGAAATATGTTTCAAGAGTGATGTAACCAATAAGACACACAACAGGAATAAATGACAAGATTTCTACTTCTATCAACTTTTCACTGCTGTTCAAACACAAATAATCATATATATATAAGAGAATTTAAGCACTTAATTCAGACTTGATGATCTTCGGGGATTTTGAAGCAATTATTCACAATAATTTGTAGTATTCTATACATTCCAAATGTTTTAGTTTCATCTTAAAAAATCTGAAAAATGACAACAAACCCAGAAAGACGTTTCCTGACAAATGCATAAGTGAAATGCAACCCAAACAGTTCTGAATAGTCATGACATAATAAAATATTCTTCGTTGTTGTGAACGAACAGTTTACAACCCTGCCCCTCCCCACGATACATTCAGGAATAAATATTTATTGTCAATAAAGAAGGAAAACACATCATTCCAATACTTGATACTGAAATTCCTCCCTTTCAGACATAATCTTCAAGTTCCAGGAACTTCCTTCACATTTTTCTTTTAAATAACAAAGGAAGAAATTACTCAAGAGAAAAAAATTCCCATGTTTTTTCAAATATAGTGATGACAGATTAATATTCCTGGTTCATTTTTTCAAAAACTCTCACAAGAATTTCCTTCTACTACATAATAAGATGAAAATTACTCAAAGAAAAAAATTCTTTCCATTGCAAAACAATGGTCACAGTATAATCTTATAATTTGAAGTACTTACTTTCAAAGGTGTGGAAGCTGGTATCTCTCGCAGTATAACTATACATCTTTTATGAATAGGACGAACCTTTTCACCTTTTTCATCCACCTGGACATGAGAGGACTCTGACCGGAAAGATATTGTTATATTTCAATCAAATAATATTATGACACACAAAGCAAAAAAGAAAAATAAATTAGCAAAACTGCATGGGGCATGCTATCTACTGAACTCCAAGAAAATGTCTCACTTTCAAACAAATTTATCTCTTCAACTATTGTGAGAATAGAGAACTTTTTTTTCAATTTCACTTTTTTTAACTTACCATGGATAATAGCACTAATATATAAATATTGATATACACATGTATTGGAAATATGGGCCGGAGGCCTTAATTCCCTGAAAAAACTTGTTCCTATTTTGTTCTCTTCAACTTTAATAAGGACCGATAGAGCTTTTTAGATGTTACTGTAGATTGCCATATACAGAAAGACCAAAAAAGAACCATTTATGTGGTCTTCATTAAGCATTGTCCCAAGAGGACAATGAACATTTTTCAAAATCTAGAAAAAAAAATCTTTAATTTACACAACAATCTTCATTTACTTACCTCTAAGAACCTCCACAATCAGTTCCAGATCACTTGTCAGTTTCTTGACTTGATTGAAATTAGCTATAGTTACAATGGGTACATACTGGTCTCCATCCATTTGAGATATTAAATAACTGTCAACAGCAAGATTCTCACTGAAAAACATCCGTAAAAACTTATATATAATGATCTCAAAATCATTTTTCTTTGCTTGCTATCTTATATCACACTTACATTTTTACCCTGTTATCTATGCCAATAGAAATACATGATTATGTTAATAGCATATATATTTCAGAATGTAGAGATGGTTACTTACTCTGAAAAGTAATATTCTAGCTGATGCTTTAACATAACACGTAGCCCAGTTTCTTCTTTTCCATCATCGGTCGAACTTGCAGTTTCATCTGTGGAAAAAAAAAACAACACCATTATGACATGAATGAAATCAGAAGGATTTCCAAACAAAGCAAATCAAGTAAAAAGTCCCTAAACTTTTCACAAAATCAAACTATTCAGTATTAATAACTTGACTTATTGTTTCTAAGTTCTACATAAACACTGTATTGATTCCCTAATACACCTTCGAAATTTTGTAAGGGAAATATCAGGAAAAGGGAAAGACACCTAATTCCACCTACTTCTTAATGTACTTAATATACACTGCTAGCAAGTGTGCATACTGACCAGTTTCATTATAAATTCGACAATTAACAAGACATTAAGATATGAAGATAGAGACATCACTGTCTCTAGCATTCCAAATAAAATAATGGTGGCGTAAACCTCAAGTGTCACTACCATGGTAACTTTCTTACGCATCCTGGATTTCTAAATGATTACAGATACTGAATTGAAAACAAGGGAGAAAATTTCTCTCTACAGTACTCTTGTAAGCTGCCGTCAGTGGCTCATGCAGAGATTAACTACAAGTGGTGATCCATCAATACCTGCAGTTCTTTTATTATACTAATACTAAGGTACATCAATCTCAAGAGCAAGTAAGCATGTTTTCATATGCAAGTATTATAAAATTCCATATTAAAAGATGCAAAATTAAGAATAAAGCAAAATTATACTTTATTTGAGAAGTTGCTTAAAAACCAACTAGAGGGACAAAATGTATTTTTAAAATAATATCTTATGTTATGGTTTTAGTATGCCTTTGAATTACCTATGAGAAACCAAATTTGTGTGTTGGGGAAAAAGAACAAGCAAATAGTGCCTTTATTACATAAGGTGGGCTATTCCAGAGCATTCATATTAAATAAATTTGATAAAAGAATATTTGTGTTTTTTAGACATGAAAAAAACTACCCAAAATAAGCAGGCAATCTGTCAGCTAAGGTATCATCTCATAAGCAAATCATGGGAAGTGGGTAGGGTCACAAAAGATTGACCTTACTTGAGATTTATACTATTTCAAAATGCATAATCAAAATAAAAACAAATCGCTCTGACTGAAAAGTTAGTATTTGTCCAACTGAACCTGAATGTGTCTAAATATTTAAATATACGGCCAAAGGCTACTTTTTTCCTTCTTCAGTTGCAAACAGTGAAACTGAATTAAAGAGAGACTGAACACTCACTATGTCAGCCTCACAATTAGTAAACCACTCAGAGTGCAGACCTCTGCATGGCACCTCAATGCTCATTATTAGTAATCAATTAATATTAATGGATCGCCATCTATACCTATTCTAAGTCTATTTCCGACACACCCTGAAAATTTTAACAAAATCTGTCCAGATTTTTTTTAGTTTGACTGTCAACCAACAAAATAACAAAGGCAAAAACAAACTCTTGGGCAGTGGTAATAAGCATAAAACGTGTAGCTTACCTGCAGTATCAGAAGTCACCCCATTTTCCAGTGGGCAATCCTCCTTCTCCTGGTCTGCGGGGGACTCTGGAGTTGGAGGATAATTCACCACATCACCACCAAGGTCCCCATTTACTTGTCCTGCAAGAAAATATTTTCTAGACTGGTTACAACTTATAGAGATCATACAGAGGGGATTGAATACACAAGATGTTTCTTAACTGCCCAGGTAATATATAACTGACCGATCTCAGCTAGGTATATAAATACCCTTCATTTGGGCAAATTGCTTCCCCAAGGTCAATGAGCACTGGACACTGCTGAACACTCCATCCCAGTGAATATATTTAGAACATGTGGCTGTTCAATGTTGTCGATTACACTAATCTGGCTTTCAATGCCTCACATTGAACAGCAGACATGGACTGTAAATTGTGAAAATCAATGGGCAAATGTGATCCCAAATTAGTGGAATATTAGGGTGGCTAGAAACAATGATGCACATGGTAAATGAAAACTTTTTAAAAAATAAAAAATTTAAAGAGACTTTAAGAATATTACTATTGAATGAATACATCGATAATGCACATTGGAGCATTTTTTTAACTTGAGAAAAATTTACAACTTACAGCAAAACATAAACACCACCAATTCCTGTACTTTTTGTGCAAATTTCACAATTTTTTTTAAATTTAAAACAATTCTTCTCATCAAAAATGGCAGTTACTGGTATAGTGAATCACATAGCCAGTCTATGTGAAAGAAGCATTATAATTATGATGTTGGTTTATGTTATCAACCAGGTTAATCAAATCTGTATGCCAGGTAGTCATTAGCTTGGATTTAGAGAAGTGTTATATTACTTAAGATTCATCCTTGAACTTGATGTAGGTGACCTTGAGAGAAGGTTTATCATGATCTATCTGAATTACTCCAATGAAGTATATTGTGTGTCACACATCTAGAATATCCATTAGCCATGGCTAAGTTTTATATTTTGCTTTAGTATTACATTGCAGCAGCAACTACAATATGGGTGGGAAAAATTATGTTAGACCAAAAATCAATAATTCATCAAATATGGGTTTGCTGTCAGTGGTGTATTTGCATTGATTATTAGTCTACTCATTAAAAACAATCTTAACACTGATAAACCAAATCTGCTTTAAAAAAATAAATAAATAAAAATACAGATGAATGGGGTCAAACATTCTTGCATTGCTTTTAATTTTTTAATTTAGAGGCAAATTTTAATTTATAAGTTCAAATTTGGTTATCAGCATCCCAAGTAATTTTGAAAGCTAAGAGTATTATAATACTAATACTTAAACAGCTTGTGTCAAAGTACACAATAGTTTTAAGCAGTCTTAATTTTCCTACAAGATATAAAATGCAGTCCTACTGATGTCTGATAATATCATTTTCGGTGTACAAATGTCATTTGTCTTCTTCATTTTCTCACTCCTAAGGGCAGATGTCAAAATGGATTAAAACCATTGTGAAGTCCAAATTCCTCTCCAAGGTAATAATTCAGTAAAGGTGTTACACCCATGGATAAAACTTATGAATTGGCAATTTCATCTGCATTTTAGGGTATGATTATGTGTTTCTTTGCTTGATAAAAACCATTTAAAATGTGACAATATCTTCAATAGTTAACAAGTTAAAACCCACAAACCACTGTCATCATATCTCATTCAGCAAGATATTCAACAGCAGAAAAAAAAAAAAAAACAACTTTGCAACTCTTTGTCAATTTTTGTCAATTTTAAAAAAAGTAAATTTAAATTTAAAAAAGTTGCTTTAGCAAGTCATGGCAGTAATGGATATTGCAAAAAATCTCAAAAGGGTGACATCTAAATATGCAGTTCCCAAGTGGGTGATAGTACAAACCACTTTTCCAGCCTGTAAGAGGACTAAAATATTATAATTTAATGCTCAGAATAACAACTGACAAAGAACTATTTGGAAACACTAAAGTTTTTGTTGATTAGGATTCAAATGCTTATACAACAGTTTTTTTTCTTTTTTTCTTCTTTTTTTTTTTTCACTTTGCTTACTTCTCCAATATTGTGACCATTCCACACAAATTATGCTAGGGTGTGACAGTTTTTTTACCTTCCGGAGTGGTTGCTTCATCTAGCTCCCAGGCTTGGTCCCCACTGGGGCTGTGGCTGTGAAAGACTGTGGCATTTGGATTCAAACCAGGGGCCTTTGGGGTCACCTGAAGAGGAGACAATGCATAGCAGTAATGATGACAAGTACCATTTTCAACAATTAGTGCAATGCTTATACACAAAACATGGTTCAACTTAAGTATGTCCTTCAAGTATTGTCACTTATTAACACCAAAAGGAACCAAGTCCTCTCTGGGTAGCTCCAATTTTTTTTTTGGTAGAACATAAAGATTGAACTTGGATTACGCCAATATTTCAGAGGCTATGTTTAACAGACTAGTTTGGCAATCAAAAAAGAAAACTTCTGGAAGAATTTAGGTAATTAGTAATAGTTGAAAAATTGAGTTTTTCATTATACACATGACTATTTTGACAAATCATCCAAGCTAGACAACATAGATATGGATACTGATATGAGTTGAAGTTAGGCAAATGACATTTTGATATACATATATTTAAATATGGTAACATAGTTAAAATCAGTCATACAAATCACATTCATATTAACATATTCAATGAAAAAGAAGAAGTCTTTTTCAGCATATGTCTTCTGATGCTTAATTAAGATAGTGGTTATCAATATATGCATGGAGTCTTGTTTTTTTAGAAACTGCTCCAGGCACAAACACTGGTATGAGCTTCTTTCCTCTTAATTTATCAAAAATCTTGCATTAATAAAACAATTATAATTAAGTGAAGATATGTAGCATTTTAAATGCTGAAGAAGTTGAATCATACCAATCTAATTAATACATCAGTTGCTTCAATGAATTAGATACCTTTCATTAGAAAAGGATATAAATATCAAGTCTATTATTTTTGGTTTTATTTCAGACCAGACTACACTGTGGAATACAGCATATCCTGATACTTTTCCCCCTGTTTTGATAATATCAGCATCATCAAACATCAGCAACAAAAACATTTACATTTGGAAAATGTCAGGATGAAAGCATTAGACCAATACAGGAGAACATAAGGCTCAATTAAATTAACATATAATTTGACTATAAAGATAATAAAGGCTATTATACTCTGTGCGGAAGCTATTGAAGTCATTATAAGAAGGGGAAAAGGGGGTTAGATAATATGTTGAATTCATGGCCATCTTTACCAGTAAGACTCAGAGTGCATTCAAAACAGTGAATGAAAGGGTCATTCAGAATAGATGATCCAAGTACTAACTAACCGCCAACCAAATATGGCAGATCGCACTTCAAAAGCGATGCTGCCGATTCGTGATGGTCTTTCCACCTCCACGCGGGCCATTAAACGGATTAAATCTCGCCTCCTAGGTTAAATTACTAGGCCCCTGCAGCGATGGCACGTGTGGAGGCAGGGAAACTATCATGAAATTAGTGGTATCGCTTTTGAACTGGGGTCAGCAATATTTAGTCGGCAGATCAGTTAGTCCTGGGATCATCTATTCTGAATGGCCCCTCACAGATCTGCGATCAAATATGGCCAACCCACTTGAAAGTCATAGCAAGGGTTATCTATTCAGTGTCTAAACGGGAATTAAGCGGCAAGCTTTTTAGTGAGTCGCCATATTTGTTCAGTGGATCTGTTAGTCCGCTGTTCTGAATGTGTTCTAAGAGACCAAACTTTAAAATACTGCATAAAATATAACCATCCTTACATTTGTTCTTTATCACACTTCATGTGACAGTTTTGGCATTCCTTTATTGGGTGATAAAACCTCTTTCACATGAGTAACTTGCCTACACATTAACAAAATTACTTTTATGTAACTGTTAATGATAAGAAAAATGGCCAGTTCTAAAATCCCACAAGATATTGAAACCTCATACTTAAAAAAAAAGATTTAAATACTCATTTTCACAGGAAATTACGCACACATTGGATAGAAGCCACAAGTCAATCATGTTAGCCTTCGTCACAGAATATTTCCCCCATTACGTAAGCATAATTAATGACAACAGGCTGACCATGATAAGTTTGAATCCCATACAGCAGCATACTGAAAGCGTTTTCATAAACATGTCAAGTTATCAACAGTGGGCAACATATTGTGCAAAATTTTATATCAAAGCATATTATAGACTCCTGTCTTTACATGGATGGCAGCTTGTTAATAACACCACCACAAATAGGTTTAGTTTCAACAAGCACCCGAGACGAGACATATAACCAATATTACATGAATGATACAAATATCAATTTTCTAGATTTAATACAACATAAGATTCAAATTATATTTGTAATAGACACTTTCCACTGCCTAGTTTGCAGCGGCAATAGCAGTGAAACCCTGTAATCCCATATTGCAGCTATCTCTCTGACCATATGTTACACTGCCCTTACCTTTCCTCCATTTCCCTGTCGCACACACAACACGTAACAATTAGCAGAGAAGAAATAGACATCCCCAGGATGCATGGAGGCACTTGAAACTGCCCTAAAACCAAGATTCAACAGGCCAGCTGTGACAGATTGAGCGTTTGTACCTAGGTCATCGGTACCATATTGTTCTCAATTGTAGCACTACTTGGATGTGCCCTATAATCCAGAGCATGCGTTGCATATCAGCTACTGCTTAGAATGTAATAAACACAGACTTTAATTCACAGTGCTAATGCCTCACTGCTATCTAACGGTCTATATGTACAGTAAGTTCTACTGTCTGCGTGCTTCCTTACGGTTGGAACAGTAGGAAAAATGACATGACGACACTAGCCTCTTGGGAGGTATCCACGATAATGGACCTGTCCAATTACACTTCCACTGTGGTTAATGGTTCATTTTCATAAAATAACTGATGTATTAATACTCTCAGAGACAGCAATCAGTTCTAAATTTTTATGTTTTTCACTAAATTTGTCTCCACGCTGAAATAAGATTAATGGGAAAATCCTGACTTTTCTGGTTTCTATTCCTATACATCAGACACCATTCAGGTGATTATTCTCAACTGCTGACGCAACCTGATAAGGCCTATTTCCTGAGCCATCAGAAAGTCTCATGACAAGAGCTAGAATCCAGCATAATTTACCATCCTACTGAAAATTAATAACTGCAGCACATTAAGTAGTTCACAAAGAAAATCAAACAAGTCGTTCCAAGGATAATCAGAATCTAAAGTGACATGCAGTTTTCACTGGTCAGACTTATCGGAAGCTGTGGGTGGGAACTGATGCTGCAAGAATTGATTATTGAGGGGGCTGAAAAACGCAAGATAAAGCTGCCTGAGGTTTTTTAAATGTCTTTGAGGTCTAAAAATGTCTCTTTTTACTGCCTATGTACAAGAAAGGAAGGAAAAAAGGAAGGAAAAGGCAAATGAAGCTTCTCTGTGGTGTACAGCAATTGTCAATTGGGAGCCCCTCCTTTTTTCAAATCAGGTAGCATTATCAGCATGACTCCATCTGACACACTAGGAATATTGATTCCCCTTCTTTGATTTTTACTCTTTGTTATTCACAAAGCAATGAAAGCAGCAATATCCTAATTCCATCTGCTACATGGAATGATATGACAGGTGCTTAACATAAACCAAAAGGTTTCTAACCAAAATAATGTATGCAACAAAAGTATTTGATGTCAAGTGGATTATCTATTCACAATGACTACAGGCATATTAATCACAACAGCCATAAACTAGCTGCCTAGACACGTCATCAATATTACACTCAATTGTTTTGCACCAATGCATCTTTAGAATCAAAGCAATCTGAAATGTACTGTAATGCTCTTTGCTCACATAATTTATACTTATCAAAAATGTGTTGCATATCACTTTATTTGAATAGTAGATTCTATTTATCTAAACAGACCTTGGATCAATTTGTTGACACACAGGTTTCTATTTTTCATTACAGCTTTGACAAACAGCCTGAGATTGACTTTCAGAATGAAGGCTTCATCCTTAAAACAATAATGCTGTCTTGCAGTTAAGGACTAGGTGCTCCATCTGGTGTCAAATTAACACCATGGAAACGTGCCATGCTGCTTAGGGGACAAAGAGGTAAAATGATGTTAAAATATCAATGAAAGAACAAATGAATACTACCAGCCAAATTAGTCCTTTGGTAATCACTATACAGAATTTTGCAATATATTTCCTCAATTGATAATAATAATCATAATCATAAGTGATCACAATAAATATATATCTATTCTTAAAAATAAATATATAAATAAATAAATAACAAGTTTGCATCTTGGATCATAGTGGACTCAGTACGTTTTTACATACAAAGAGGTAAAAAAGTATACAAGCACTTGCCTGTTATTTAATACAGGAAAGGAATATAAGGTTCGAATTATATTTATAATTTTTACAATTTAAGACCTTTAACATCTCATCTCCACTGACAACCAAGAAAATATGCACATGGGAAAATTTAGACAAAGCACAGACTACCTTCAGACAATGGAAGATGGTCCTGGATTAAAAACTTTCACCATAAACATAGGAAATGGATTACATGTTTTATCATGTAAATTCTTTGAAAATCACTGAAATATAGGTAGTGACCAAATACTTAAAAATTTGTTTATTTTTCATCTGAAAACTTCCATACACTAAATGACATATGCAAATTTAATAATCTCATAGCAAAGAACACCAGTTTTCTTCCTATTTAAAATCTACAAATTGACTTTAATTATCTCACTTAATACTACAGTCTTCTCTGTAAATAAAATATTGATGAATTGAAATTCTTAAAATCTTAATCACAAAACCAACATTGGACTATCCTTTTGGCATACCTGAATGCTGATGCCAGCTGGAAAAGCTCTAATACATGAGTCTATCTACAAATGTAACATCACTGCCCTAAAATTTCATAAGCTGCTCAGTCGTCTTTGAAAATACACTAATTAACACTGAATAGATATCCTGTGGGGAAGTATTCAAGTGGGTCAGCCATATTTGACTCTCGGACTAGTTAGTCCCCTATTCTGAATAAGGCCTTAATCTAATATTGTCCTTTGATTAGCCTGCAAAGGGCTAATAGGCCTAGCTTCTGCAATTGGATGATTTGCTATCTATATCTATAACACTACTTCAACTGTGAAGCTTACAAACTTGCCTAATAATATTATACATTAAATGACATCACCATTTTTTTGCCCAGATCACATTACAACACTGAAGTTGTAAAATTGTTTTAAAGCATGATTACATAAACTTATCCAATTTTTTTTCCAAAATCAAATTTTAATAAAAAAAAATAAATACATAAATAAACAAAATAAATAAAAATTCTCCTACTCACGAATCATTGCTCAACCCATTCCTGTACTTATATTCTATGATTTATACCATTTTAATTAAATAATTTAGTTCTAAATGTTTCTAATAATATTGAAACCGCCATGTCTTCCTGTACATGTAATAAGGAAATATCGACATCCAGGTACTTTTATCTGAGGGGCTTTTTAATTTTTAAGGGATAATAACTGTTGGCTTTGGCCATAAAATGAATTTTCCTGGAGTAAACAACAATTTTCCCATATGGTTAATGAATCAATTTCTACATTCAAAAGTTAGTCCCTGTTTTTTTCTAAAAGGTTTTTTTTTTGTTTGTTATAATCTCTTAAGAGATTATAACAGAGTATAGCCATCCACGGAGGTCACATGGTCCAATGACAAGCTCAGATATCAGAATAATAGCTATAACTGCCGTTATTGTGGTAAAATGGAATATTTTTTATTTCTATGAGTTGTTTACAATGTTTTTATTGTGAAATATAGATCTCATATGAAGAGTTATCCCTTTAAGGTACGACTTGAAAAAGATAAGTAGCTTTAGAGGGTATTTAGACACAGAAAGTATGACAGAGTTTCAAACATGGGTAGTATACCTTTCATGAAACTTTTAGGCAAAATGCTACATGGGTAGTATACCTTTCATGAAACTTTTAGGCAAAATGCTATCTTAAATTGTACAAAGACGTCTATCACTTACCATTATGACTTGATCTTTTCGATGGGGAATATTATTAACATTTCAGATTTATAATTTTGGAATAATTAAAAATTATATTTCTATATAGCATTTGCAGTGCTTTTAATGTACAGAATAGAATCATAGGCTAGACTGCTTTGTAATTTTAGCTTCTAGCTCAATAACCTTGGAAGCTTACTTAAATAACTTTTCATCATTCACAATATCTGCATCAAACACTTATGAAGTATTTTTCAAAGAAAATTATTTCTCAATTCAATGGAGCCCTGAAGTGTAATCCTAAAACAAGCAGCCTCAAGGAGTATCTGTAAAGAACATTATTATTTTCCAACAATAATAAATTTATAACTTAACTATATCAGCCCTGACAGACTTGTGGAGTAAATTTCCTTCTGGCAGACTCTATTTTTAAGATATGGCAAAAAAATAAACAAATAAATAAAAATGAAAATAAAAATAATAAATACCTTATTTAATTATTTAACTTATTAAATACTTACTGGTGTCCTCTCTAGCTGGAGGCTCCCCCCACTACTCCCCTGATCCGATGTCATCAAGGATAGAAGCAGCCACCAACAATGCAGCGGAGCTCCTAAAATATGAAATATATTACAGTGACCAATAAATAAACATGAATGGATACAGACTGGTGTCTGGAGATCAATCAATAAGGATTGCATAAAAAATGTTACATCAGAAATTCTGCAATATACCCTAAGAGAGAGTAAGAGGACAATGTATATTTATAATTGTGAGCAGAGTCAAGAGAACAAGAGGATAGGCACTAACAAATACATATTAGCAAAAGAAAAGGCAAATTTTTTGTTAAGGCAGATTGAAATATGTCAGGTCAGTGTAAATGCAACTAATGGCCCTGGTCAAATTGTTTCAATTGGTACAACTGGCAATTATACTTCCAAGTAAACGATGCTAAAGATGTTCAACATAAAGATTTTCTTCCCCTTTACTTCAGCCAGCACATGATTTTTCTCGAACTTCATTATGCTTGAAAATGGGAAGGCTCTATTCTGTGCTGCTGATATCACAAAAAATGCTGTTTATAAGAATTTTAAGAATCATAAAATTTTTTTGGTGGTAATTGGATTGTACTTTATTTTCTTAGGCAGTACAAATGCTTGTTTTAAAAAATTAAAATAAAATTATGATCTGTGGTTTGTACAAAACCAAAAGACCTCAAATTACACTTTGATTCAAGTCCTGGAAAACCAGTAAATGGAATGTGGGATATATTACAAAAAGAAGACATAATAAATCCTTAATTACATGAATGTTATTGTTAACAAAATATATATCTTAAACATACACTGTAGTCACTCACTGGTTGAAATGCATTAGATATATTCTGTAGTAAGACAGCAAAGCATAAGAATAACAAGTATACAATCATTTCAGAATCTACATTATATGAGCACTATAAACTGTTTTATTCAAACTATAAAATAGTAATTTATCTTGAAATACAGTGTCAACTATAATTAAAGCAGTTGTTCATTAGCCTATCTATAGTTTGTCAAGAGTTGTTAGGTTAAAAATTTAAGTGTACTATTTTATGGTTAGATAGTTTCCATTTTCATTTACGTGTATACTACAAGTTAATAGCAACTTTTCAAAAAGCTCCAAATGAGAAAAATAAACCATCACATGTTCCTTATGAAGTTTAGAAATATATCTGACTGACTGACTGGTATCATGTACATAACATATATGGGGTCAACCATAAGGCCTGTAAAAATGAACGTTGAGATATCATTGTAAGATACTGAAATGTTTATAAGACTAATTACAAGTTTAGAGTATATTAAGCAACTTAATATTATAGGTTAACTCGATGCATTATGTTGATATTTANAATTTCAGAATGAAGGCTTCATTCTTAAAACAATAATGCTGTCTTGCAGTTAAGGACTAGGTGCTCCATCTGGTGTCAAATTAACACCATGGAAACGTGCCATGCTGCTTAGGGGACAAAGAGGTAAAATGATGTTAAAATATCGATGAAAGAACAAAAGAATACTACCAGCCAAATTAGTCCTTTGGTAATCACTATACAGAATTTTGCAATATATTTCCTCACTTGATAATAATAATCATAATCATAAGTGATCACAATAAATATGTATCTATTCTTAAAAATAAATATATAAATAAACAAAATAAATAAAAATTCTCCTACTCATGAATCATTGCTCAACCCATTCCTGTACTTATATTCTATGATTTATACCATTTTAATTAAACAATTTAGTTCTAAATGTTTCTAATAATATTGAAACCGCCATGTCTTCCTGTACATGTAGTAAGGAAATATCGACATCCAGGTACTTTTATCTGAGGGGCTTTTTCCTTTTTTAAAGGGATAATAACTGTTGGCTTTGGCCAAAAAATGAATTTTCCTGGAGTAAACAACAATTTTCCCATATGGTTAATGAATCCATTTCTACATTCAAAAGTTAGTCCCTGTTTTTTTCTAAAAGGTTTTTTTTTTTTGTTTGTTATAATCTCTTAAGAGATTATAACAGAGTATAGCCATCCATGGAGGTAACATGGTCCAATGACAAGCTCAGATATCAGAATAATAGCTATAACTGCCGTTATTGTGGTAAAACGGAATATTTTTTATTTCTATGAGTTGTTTACAATGTTTTTATTGTGAAAAATAGATCTCATATGAAGAGTTATTATCCCTTTAAGGTACGACTTGAAAAAGATAAGTAGCTTTGGAGGGTATTTAGACACAGAAAGTATGACAGAGTATCAAACGTGGGTAGTATACCTTTCATGAAACTTTTAGGCAAAATGCTATCTTAAATTGTACAAAGACGTCTATGATCACTTACCATTATGACTTGATCTTTTCGATGGGGAATATTATTAACATTTCAGATTAATAATTTTGGAATAATTAAAAATTATATTTCTATATAGCATTTGCAGTGCTTTTAATGTACAGAATAGAATCATAGGCTAGACTGCTTTTTAATTTTAGCTTCTAGCTCAATAACCTTGGAAGCTTTCTTAAATAACTTTTCATCATTCACAATATCTGCATCAAACACTTATGAAGTATTTTTCAAAGAAAATTATTTCTCAATTCAATGGAGCCCTGAAGTGTAATCCTAAAACAAGCAGCCTCAAGGAGTATCTGGAAGAACATTATTATTTTCCAACAATAATAAATTTATAACTTAACTATATCAGCCCTGACAGACTTGTGGAGTAAATTTCCTTCTGGCAGACTCTATTTTTAAGATATGGCAAAAAATAAACAAATAAATAAAAATGAAAATAAAAATAATAAATACCTTATTTAATTAATTAACTTATTAAATACTTACTGGTGTCCTCTCTAGCTGGAGGCTCCCCCCACTACTCCCCTGATCCGATGTCATCAAGGATAGAAGCAGCCACCAACAATGCAGCGGAGCTCCTAAAATATGAAATATATTACAGTGACCAATAAATAAACATGAATGGATACAGACTGGTGTCTGGAGATCAATCAATAAGGATTGCATAAAAAATGTTACATCAGAAATTCTGCAATATACCCTAAGAGAGAGTAAGAGGACAGAATATATATTTATAATTGTGTGCAGAGTCAAGAGAACAAGAGGATAGGCACTAACAAATACATATTAGCAAAAGAAAAGGCAAATTTTTTGTTAAGGCAGATTGAAATATGTCAGGTCAGTGTAAATGCAACTAATGGCCCTTGTCAAATTGTTTCAATTGGTACAACTGGCAATTATACTTCCAAGTAAACGATGCTAAAGATGTTCAACATAAAGATTTTCTTCCTCTTTACTTCAGCCAGCACATGATTTTTCTCGAACTTCATTATGCTGGAAAATGGGAAGGCACTATTCTGTGCTGCTGATATCACAAAAAATGCTGTTTATAAGAATTTTAAGAATCATAAAATTTTTTTTGGTGGTAATTGGATTGTACTTTATTTTCTTAGGCAGTACAAATGCTTGTTTTAAAAAATTAAAATAAAATTATGATCTGTGGTTTGTACAAAACCAAAAGACCTCAAATTACACTTTGATTCAAGTCCTGGAAAACCAGTAAATGGAATGTGGGATATATTACAAAAAGAAGACATAATAAATCCTTAATTACATGAATGTTATTGTTAACAAAATATATATCTTAAACATAAACTGTAGTCACTCAATGGTTGAAATGCATTAGATATATTCTGTAGTAAGACAGCAAAGCATAAGAATAACAAGTATACCATCATTTCAGAATCTACATTATATGAGCACTATACACTGTTTTATTCAAACTATAAAATAGTAATTTATCTTGAAATACAGTGTCAACTATAATTAAAGCAGTTGTTCATTAGCCTATCTATAGTTTGTCAAGAGTTGTTAGGTTAAAAATTTAAGTGTACTATTTTATGGTTAGATAGTTTCCATTTTCATTTACGTGTATACTACAAGTTAATAGCAACTTTTCAAAAAGCTCCAAATGAGAAAAATAAACCATCACATGTTCCTTATGAAGTTTAGAAATATATCTGACTGACTGACTGGTATCATGTACATAACATATATGGGGTCAACCATAAGGCCTGTAAAAATGAACGTTGAGATATCATTGTAAGATACTGAAATGTTTATAAGACTAATTACAAGTTTAGAGTATATTAAGCAACTTAATATTATAGGTTAACTCGATGCATTATGTTGATATATAAACAGAATGTCACAAATATTACGAACGCCACAGGGAAATTACACAACAGCGGGACCACAAACAGCTACGGTAAGTTTGTTCCTTGTCAAGCTTTTATCAACTCGGGTAAATCTTCATTGGTGCCATTTGTCTGACCAAAAACAGGAAAATACTAAAGGAATGCTCAAAAATTGATAGATGTTTTACAAAAATTATACAAAATTGAATCATTTTCTTCTGCAATTATAAAGTTGTGCATGCCGAGATGTCAATTTGCAGAGTAGAAATTATTAGTAGGGATATCCTCCATCCATTTCCACCGCCAACGCGCAAAGTAGTATGATAGGTATGACAATTCTAAGATTATAAAGTTTAAGATTTGGTAACAGTACAAAATTCTTGTAGCTTGTAGCTACCTTGGTTAACACAGCATTTGTTTTACCCAATTTAGGCAATACACGTGATATCAAAATGGCGGCTACCATGTTCCCCCTGTCAGGATTGAAGGAAAACAGTGGTGTTGCATGAGAGAGAATACGAGAGGGGAAGGGTTAGTGAATGTCTATATCAAGTTTAGTACCTTTTCTTCTCTGACACCTGAACTGTGCTGTCTTCGGAGCCCCCACCCCTCAAAACTCGCTATGTTTCACAGGTTCCGCCTTCTCTTATACACCACCATCCACAGCAGAAATCACATTGGTCAGATTACTGCCCAGCATAGTAACCAAGGGCTTCCGCCGAAAAACGAAACAAATCACGGTAATTATTTTTTACAAAGTTATAAAATGGACACATACGTTATTTTCTTAGCAAAAAATAATAATTTACATATGTCTTTACTTAATGTAATAGACTGTATTCAAATCCTGAATAAAACAATTGGAAACCGAAAATGGCGGGAGTTCGCAGACGCAGTGCGGTGACCTGGACTCCATGGTACTATATTTGATGCCCCTAATATTGGCAATCCAACAAGCATTGGCCTTTTGCTTGATTGTGTTAGCAAAGACGCAAAACATTCACGTACAAAGCTCCACGAAAACGTGCTGGAGAATTTACAGAACTGAGTTATCATCGAGTTATAATAATTAGGCTAGTAGGGTTTTTGACTATTTAATTGAATTTTAAAAACTTTATTAGAGGTTTGGTCACTCTACTGGGGTTGCATTTTGTAATTGTCACCCGAATAGGCTACTATCAATAGGCGCCGCGCTTCACAGTCATGCACAGTGCGTTTAATTTTAGTTCTCAGTTCAGAGAGTTCCAGTTCTGAATCCACGTAAAAACAATAACCTTAGAAGGCAATTAGTAGGCTAGTTTTGCTGACGGAAAATTTTATTCGTGGCACTCGCCTTCACATTCAAGGAAAAATAGGGGCCTAATCAGAATCATGGCGACACATATAGGCCTAGGGGCCTATATACCAATATGATGTCAAACTATCATTGTAATAAATCACAAATGAATATTTAATGGTTATCCCCCAGAATCTGGAGTTTAATCTTGGGGATGGCGGAGAAAATGCGTGTATAGTAGGGCCTACATTTTTTTTTTTTTTTTTTGTCAATTTTGAAATTATAATTGCGCAATAGATTCATTTTTTCTGAGATTGGTGTGCAAATAAAACGGCAGTTTTACTACATGAATGTGCCAGTTGCATTCAAATTATGGTTATATTGTGATAATCTCTCCAAAAAGGTCAAATGCGGTCAAATGCATTTCAAGAATGCGCAAACACGAAACCACAGAGTTAAATTCCAAAGAGGATAATATCAGACCAATAGACCATTCTGAGAACCATTGCATATGAAAACGATTTTTAAAAAGATGGTTCAACCATAAAGTCTATGCCAGCAAAAATAATAAAAAAATTAAGTAACAACGAATTTAAAGTATATGTTACTGAAGGAAGTAGGTTTAATTTGTTTGATGTTTGTCGAACTAAAACAATTTTTTCAGAAACATAGTATGTTACTTTTGATAACACTTCGTGATTTGCAAATTATTTCATCTCAGTGCAACAGTCTCGTTTCTTTTGGTTGAGCATAACTGTGATTCAGCCCTGGCACAACAATAGCTCTCATATAACAGTAGGCCTATATCAAAATGTAATTGTTTCCACAGCGTTATAAAAAATTGCATTCAGCCTTCGCTCAGGCTGATGCGCACCACTCTTTGACATTCAAATCTATCAGTTATTCCTGCGTTTAATCATCCCCCATTTCTTTCTTGAGTTTTGCCAACGCCATAAGTCGGTCGTCTCGCCACTTTCTTTTCTCAGGAAGCCCATCTACAGTAGAAAACGTTCTGCACATGGCGTCGTGGATCTTCTTAGCAGTGTCCGAGTCAGATTTAAGCTCGGTGACCGGTTTCATATCATTGAGAACTGCCCATATTGAAGGTCCATAACGGTCCACATTATCAGTGACGCCTGTAAAAATAGCGATTATCTTGAAAAAACAAAAGGAAGAAACGTTGCTCTGCTTCATACTCTCGTGTAAAAAAATTGATTGATTGAGAGATAGAGAGACCGAGAAGAGAGACAGAGAACGAGAGAGAATATTTCGTTTCGTTGGTCTTACCAAATCCATTCATGTGCATAGTTTCAAATTGGCCTGTAAAAGCATATCGCATACCAAGGCCATTCTTCAGGATTTTTTCTACGTCTTCTGGCTCCAATACATCATCCTGAAACGACGTAGCCTAAATGATCGAACAATCAAATAAACAGTATTGGTTGGAGAAAAGTCATGCTTCACGTATGAAACGTTGCCTGCTAACTATAGATAATTAAACAGTGAGCAAATAATAATTAAAATGCTATAAATCTCAATTATACTTACATTTGTACGGTGAAGGCACCCGATAGTAGGCCGAATAACAGTTACCAAATTATTATGCAAACTGTTGAAGAACGCGAGCAAAGATTTGATGAACACCGGACAATGACTGGATAAAAACTTGAACGTTAGACCACTCACCAGGCGTTGTACATTACCTCTACTAAATCCCAGCACACTTTTATGATTGCATATTGAATTCTATTGATTCCAAATCCTAAAATCTCTTTCTTAAACACGATTGGTTTCGATCCCACTTCTTCCATTAGATCTTTAACTCTGGTCGAGACATCTGCATCTGTCCACGGGGCGGGAATCAGTTCAATCAAAGGTGCGTAGTAAGGGGGGTATATCTGGAATTATATTTGAGCAATCAGAAAAGACCTATTCGAAAACAAATGGTTAAGTAGAACGTCTTCTGGGAAGATCGAGGAACGTTCTCGCACGAGCTGTTAGGGTGAATTTACCTATACCCGAATGCCGTTTTACTTACTTAATTCAATTTTGCATCATAACAAGGCTGGATGTGCTGTTTGTCAAATCTCAAGATAACTAAGCACTTTAAGTAGAAACTTCTCTCCAGTGCTAATCGACGGAAGAAGAATGAAATACTTCAAAACAAAACATCTCTTTGAGGCTTGATTTAAAAATAACACTTCCAATGTGATGATCGAAATACCAACCGGATGAACGACAATGCATCGGTTTTTTAAATTAAGGCCTTCAGAAAATTGAGACGCAGGAATACAACTGGTTGAGCTTGCAAGAATGGTGTCAGACTTAACCAGCTTGTCTAACTCTCCGAACACTTTCTTCTTCAAGTCTAATCTCTCTGGTACACATTCCTATATCAGAAAAAAAGATGGAAGAGTTTCTCTTCAAGCCAACCTGAGTTTCAGAGAACGCTGGAAACTAACCTCTTTATTATCAGCATGCCTCTGCCGTTTCCGGTGGCCTCTGAAACTCAGGGCGCTTATAAAACGACTTTTAAAACAAAAAATATTTTTACAAAATGAATAATGAGGAAGTATGCAACTTATCGTTCAAGACTGTTTTAAGCAAATTATAATATCTGTTTCCATTTCCACATGGAAAATAAATTAATTTTGAAAACAAAAGGGGAAAAAAAAGAAAATTAATGTAAGAATGTAGGCCTACGTACGTGAACGTAAAAGGCGCTCTCTACGCAATCTCTCATATCTGTCGCCACAGTAATAAGTTTGAGTTGCTCTTCTGCTGTCAATTTTCCTTTGAGCAAACCATTGGCCTGTAGCGCCGTAAAGCGCTGTTCTATGTAAGACATAGCATCTTTCAGCATGTCTTCAGATATATCATAAATTTTTACCATATAGCCAGCACTAGCATACAACATGGCAAAGCTTCTCCCTATCAGGCCGCTGAAATACATTCGATACCAGGATAGAGAACTTGAATCCACGGTTTTATTAAAAATAAACAGACAGTTTTCACACACACATATAACATATACAGGTATTTGCAATCATACTGGTATTCATCAATATGAGAATCTGATGAGTGATAAATAATATGGGTTCATATCTTTGATTAGTTTATGGGACAATAATAAAAAAACATTCACTGTGCTTTTTTTCTGATGTTTGTTCGTTTTCAGTCGGTCAGTTGGTGGACGAGAAACTCAGCTCTGTTGACATGGTTATCAAACGTATCTGACACGACGACCGGCACTTTCACGGCACTTACAGTAAAAAAAGCTTAGATAGCCATAAAAACCATATGGTGAATGTGGATCTCAAAAGAGGATAAGACGACGGTGGCCCAACTCACTAAACAACAAGTAGCGCTATATAGCGATTTTATCAAACTAAACAAATTTTGATCGTTTTTAAAGGTAGAATAGTGTGTTATTCTAACGTGGCTTTGTGTGATTTTTAGATTTATTTACTGGTCCAGGTGACAAATGCGCGTGGGTTTTCAAGTGGGTTGGCCACATTTGATCCGTGGATGTGTTAGTCTGTGGATAAACTCTGTAGTGAATGCTCTGTAGATTCTCTTGACCTCCATTTAGATGACACACCCCCTCCTCTCGATTCTTACAGACAGGAGTAAATACGCTGTAAATATGCACTCTGCTCAGTGGGTTACGAGTAATTAAGACCTCTTTCTGACTGTTTCTGATTCTATTGTAAGGTCTAAACCTGATATAGAATCTCGTGCCTCACCTGCCTAAAACTGCGATATTTCCTTTCGACGCCATTTGCTCTTTCGATAGTCTTTGAGTGCAAAGATCAGTAACAGAACATATGTGTGTATATAAATATGTTCAGGGTATTATCAGCTTAAAGTAAACCTCTGTACTGCATTCGTATCACATGGAAACACGTGACCACAATATACTCTAACACAATGTAAGTATTATCATGAAACTTTGGACGCAAAGAAATAGCCAGCGCAGCCGACTGTAAGCTGCAAATTGAAGGGGTCCACTGCAAACTGGCGATCCCTGCCTCGCCCCAACTTCCAAAAAGGTGCTGTTATGGAAAAGTTGCTCTAATGTAAGTGAATGATACAGCCCAGAAAATTCTTTACTAGACCCTATTGCAATTTTCTTTTGCGATTTTCCTTTTTTGAAGTAAGTAATACATGAACTTTTAATGATAACACTGGTATTTTAGGGTACAGCTATAAAAAACTATCATCCTCCAGGAAGTTTTTCATACATTTATATTCAATTTCATATTCCACCAAAAATTGAATACAAATTGAATAAGATCACAAGGCTTCAATTTATATTGACAGAATAAATCAAAATTATTTTATTCATAATAAGTTTAGGCATTCTTTATAATGGCAAAAGCGGTATAAAAGTGCAATTTTTCTATACTTTCCAATGGTTAATGAATCCTTTCCGACATTTAAAGTAAGTCCATTGTTTTTTGTTTCTTTTTTAAGTATGGTTTTTGAAATAATCTCTAAAGCGAATATTACACAGGGTACCCATCTACGAAGTCCACATGGCTTGATGGCAAGCACATGTCAGAATAATTGCAATAACTGCCTTTTTGGTGGTAAAATGGAATTTATTACATTTCTGTGTGTTGTTTAGAATGTATTTATTTGGGAATTTTGAATCTCATATGAAGATTTGTTATCCTTTTATTTCCTTGCATGTAACACTTCTTGCTAAACAAGTTCCTGTGAACCCACTAACTAGGAGATTTACTCAGCAATGTTCAATATCTAAAAGGGTATCTGAGACGTAATACTACAAAGCAGCATGACAAAGAATTGCCACTAAGTAATATAATGTTTCAGCATAACAATCTTCCACGGAAATCACAAAGTGATAATTTATAATACTATCTTTAATGTTCCAATTTTTATAATGTTTCAGCATAACAATCTTCCATGGAAATCACAAAGTGGTAATTTATGATACTATTCTTAATGTTCCAATTTTTAAAAATGAAGTTTATGTGACATTATAGTCTTCCAAAACACATCTTCATCTGTCAGGCGAGTGTAAAGAATATACTCTGACTGTCTCATCGCTGGATGATGTTAGAAGGTGATTGCCATCCCTGAAAGCGTAAATAAAATAAATCCACTAGAGGTTGATTTGCTTTTTAAAGTTAAAACTTCATATTATTTAAAAAATTAAAACCTATATTCAATTTGTAGCAAAAATAAATATTCTGTTGCTCTTATTTATACAGTCACCAAATTTATTTACACATCCAAGCTTTACCTCATTCAAAAACACACACAAAGTTTTTTGTATGAAATTTTAATCTAACTAGAAAGCAAAGCTGGCAAATATACAGACACCATACAGGAAACAAGGCAGCAAAGCTGACAAATATTCAGAGATTCAGATACAGAAAAGAGTGCGCCAAATGTTTTGACCAATTTTGATGCACTATTACATAAAGCTTTAAAATGGCATAATCACTTTTACCCTCTTACATTATTTACTGTATATAAAAATGTATATAAAAATTTCAAAACAGGTAGCATTTAATGAACCAAGTGAATAGTAAAAGCCAACAAGTAGAAAATATGAGAACCAATAGTGTTTGTCATTCATTTTGCAAGTCACTTTCTGCTGAGACAGAAAATATTAGAAATGTCTGTTGATAATTTACACCAGTAACAAACATCAAATTTAATTCATGTTGAAGTCTAATACCCCACTGGGACTGTACTAACCTAGATATGGTTAAATCTAATATCTCTGCCCCGTGTCCCATCCACTGTGCCTCTGTCTTGCCTGTCCTTGCATCCCACAGCCTTACTGTCCCATCTAGGCTGCCTGTGTACACCATGGGGGATGTGTTATCCCACTTCAGCCTCACAATTCCAGCCTAAAATGGCAGAGACTTTGTAAAAAAAAATATACCTGTCTAGAAAAAGCCACACAATTTTGTTTGCATTTTAGATCCAACTGCTAACTGATACAGAGTAAATCAGAAGGCACTGCTAATTCTCCTACATAAAAACTGAACATTATACTAACGTTATTTCCCATCTAACCAGATAAGTGACATCTTTGCCAGCAGGTATAACAATTCAGGTTATATGACAATCTTACCTCATTATCACACTGTTGTCTAACAGTCTGCTTTGTAAGGTCCCAAAAGCACAGGGAACCAGCAAGAGTGCCTGTAGCTAAATATGGGTTGCTGTAATTTACATATAATAAAGCAATTGAATTAACATTGGTGAAAAGCATTGTAAACATCATCTGTACCATTCTCTTACAATTCAAAGAGAAGAGAAGAGAAATACAATATATACAATACATTGGGCAAACAACATCATCAAAAGTACTACAAAGGCAAAACAGGATGTAAAGTACAAATACAGGACAACAGATGGACTATACAAGTGACTGAGTGGACCCAAAAGAATTGGACCAGAAAATATGGTAGACTAAAGACAAGATGGAGAGAGATGACCTAACCAAAATATATGACCTCACGTGGACATAAAAACAACAAAGGACAAACTTTTATGGAAGCATTCCAGGAATAGGTTTCTTCAAATGGACTGATATTATCTCTGAATTTAGATGAGATGTATATTATTTGTGCTGATCATTGTGTTCATACTTTTAATTAATCAACTGATTCCTTTTCAAAGTGCTTACTTTGGTGAGCAACCCACTGCCTCTACAGAGTCCTCTTTTTCAGCAGCGGAGGCATCTGTTTCACTGGACTGTTTTTTGCAATTAAATGTTGTCACCACCTTCATACGAAAAATAGGGTAATTAAAACATTCCATGTTCTCAAGTCAAAAACACATACAATATGAGCATGTGTGTATGCACAGACACAGTGAGAGAGACAGAGAAAGTATAATTATGAATATAACATTCTCCATCACAAAAAAAATTATCACTATATTGAAATTATTCATGCATTTATATCAATTGCTTCCAACATCCTACCCTTACCTTGCCATTGTTTGAGTTAATAACCTTGGCAGTGACATCAACTGACCCTGTGACAACCATGACATTATCTGGGTGGCAGTCTATGCATGTAATAGCACCATCATGAGCATCGTGACCTGTGTTGGAACAAAAATTATCAATCACTGGTAAATGCAAATGCTTGGGCTTTCTATACTCTAACACCCAAAGATGGTGACATGCACCACCTAAAATGTATGTAAGAGTACTTCTGATCCCAGCAAAGAAATTACATTCACGGAGATTTTTTGCGATTTTTAAACGAAAACTATGCGGTTTATGCAAACACTTACCAGATATGGAGTGTAATGGGGAACCTTCTTTCAGATCCCAAATTTTAACAGTCCCATCATCATAGCCTGTACATGCTCGCTTTCCTGCAATATGTGATAAATCCTGTACTCATATCTACCTTAGTCATTCCAAAAAAAAAAAAACATTTAGGGATATATTCTGCACTTTAATATTCTTGCATAAAAATACTAAATAAATAAATAAATAAATAAATAAATAAATAAATAAATAACACCTAATCCAAACAAAATAGGCACTGGTCTACATGAATTAAGAGAATATGCAAATATTTTAATGCAAAAGCGTAAAAAAGTGTTATTTGCCTCCAGCTTTTTTTTTTTTTTTACTCATCGAAATCTGCACATCTCTACATGAAATTGTGGTTTTTGCACAGCCTTCTCATGTCATTAGAAAGTCTGACTGTGTGAAAGAAAGCAGAAAAAGTGGAAGTAATGTTGTCTTGTATGTATTTCCATACCATCAGGTAAAATTCTGCCCTCACTGCATGTACATCCTTGACCTTGGAAAGTTTTACAGTCTCCTCCAGGAATCTTCCACATCCACATCTCCCCATCTACTGTGCCAGCCAGCAGAATGTGAGCACAATGATGCCATCTGAGCCACTAAAAAATATCATTATCCATAATATTCCATTCCATTTAGCAGTTTTAAAAACCTAAATGTGTGTGCGCACGTGTGTGTGTGTGTGTGTGTGTGTGGGGGGGGGGGGGGGGGGGGTTTCTTGCAATTTAATTTTTTCATGGCACCTGGGNGGGGGGGGGGGGGGGGGAGGGAGGTTCTGTCAATTCAATTTTCTCATGCACCTAGTAATAAGATTCATTTTTCAAAACTTAGGAAAAGGCTCAGTGAAAAAGGCCATGGGATTACACATTTTAAAATTGTTTGGGGAAACAGAAACATCATAAAGCTAAACCATAGAGCTGCAGTTAGTGTCAGTTTCAAATTAGTATTCCATTGCCTTAAACACTTACTTCTAGATCAGTGCATTCAAATGACCATATTTCCACCTTTGTGTCAACCTTCCAAACCTTGATTATCCCACTCATATCTCCTGTAGCTAAGTACTGTGAGTCATGGCTAAATGCAACTTGAGTCACAGAGTCTTTGTGTCCTTCAATAGAAATTTAATAATGACTCCCTTACATAAGTTGGTAAGCTCCTATTATTCAATTCAACTATAGTCAAAATATATTGTATGAAAAAAATGTTTATGTGTGCATTTTTAATCATCTAATGAACACTCAGCAAACTAAATGCCACACAAAAATGTTTGGTTGTAGGGGGATTGAGGCAAATGGGCTAACTGCATTTAATCTAATATCCTATGAGCTATTGTATTGAAAATGTTGGGTACTGGGTAGACACATATCCCCTTCAATTCTTTATTAATTTTCAACCTCTGGCAACTAGCCTGAAATGGTACTATTTCCATAATCCTTTTTAATAACACATACACTTGACTGAAATCATTTATTTGTTTTTTAATGACTGATCCAGAGTTATCAAGTCTTTAACTAAGTATGATCAAAGACCTACCTGTACATTTTAAAACCACCTGTCCACTGTCAATTTTCCAGAGGTATGCCAGGTCATCTTCTCCACCACTCACAGCAAATTCACATTTAACTGGGTCAGCTTGCACACAAAACACAGAACCTGAAAAAAAAAGGGCATCTCAACATCTCAAATGGACGTTTATGAATAACCTTCATTCAACTTGTGTTGCAAGAGAGGCTTTTTCAATAACTTAATCAGTTTATCAAAGAAAGTATATTTTACCTTTATGTTCAGTAAAAACCAAATCAGCATCATCTCTCAAAGGCAGGGATGTACTGTTTTCTTTATCTTCATCTTCAACACCACCATCACCATCGTATTGGTCTAGGTCCATATCTTCCATGCCTTCAGCAAGGGCCTCTGGAGACATCAATAATGTAAGCTCAATTTAAAAATAAAAAGTCATCACTTAAAAACTGCATACTTGTTATTAAACAAAAATAACATATCTGAATAGGCTGGTTTGCAAAAGTGTATCATAGGACTTGGCAACCTGCTTTCAGAACTTGCCAAAATGTACTGTACATGACTTCTATATGTTTATAGATAACTTATAATATAAATATACATTTTAACAGATATATAAAATCATTCCCAGTTATAATGTTTTCACATTTTTACCTCTGCCAAGGAGGTTATGTTTTCACCCCTGTTTGTTTGTTTGTTTGTTTGTTTGTTTGTCTGTCATCAACATAACTCAAAAAGTTATGGACCAATTTTGATGAAATTTTCAGGAACTGTCAGAAGGGCCAAGGAACAGATGTTTAGTTTTTGGTGATGATCCAGATCAATAATCAATCAAAAATCAATAATTTGTTTGTTTGTTTGTTTGTTTGTCTGTCATCAACATAACTCAAAAAGTTATGGACCAATTTTGATGAAATTTTCAGGAACTGTCAGAAGGGCCAAGGAACAGATGTTTAGTTTTTGGTGATGATCCAGATCAATAATCAATCAAAAATTAATAATTTGATTGTTTATTTGTTTGTTTGTCATCAACATAACCAATTTTGATGAAATTTTTAGGAACTGTAGATTTGGGCCAAATGAACAGATAATTAGTTTTTGGTGGTGACCCGAATCAATAATCAATAATCATAAAAAAATCAAAATATTAAGTTATGGACTGATTTTGATGAAATTTTAAGGAACTGAAGGACGTGGGCCAAGGAACAGATGATTAGTTTTTGGTGGTGATCCGGTGTTAAATTTGTGAACTAGTATCAAACTAGCATGAAATTCATGCATTAGCACTTCTACCGATATTTAAGGCCTCTGATATGTACTGGCTGTGCTAACACATGAAAGCAAAGGCCTCAAAAAGTGCAAAATGGCTATCAGTTTGCACAATCTACCTTATAGACAAACAGATGGATCTTACATTACGCATGGCTCTGCTGAAGGGAATCTGGTTGGATTTAAAGGAGTGTGTAAATTGAGGATTGATAAAAATTTGAGAGCTCCCATGTACATTATATCTGCAAACTAGTTGTCATTTTACACTTTTTGAAGCCTTTGCAATACATATCAGAAACCATATATAGGAGTACTTATGCATAATTTTGTGCTAGTGTCAAACATTACTCATAATTTTCTTACAGATTAATGGTGTCTTGTTTGGTTGATACACTGTGCCAAAAGCCTTTTCACATACCTGGTTGTGAAGGACTGTTGTTAAACTCTATAACTTCTTCTATATCCTCCTCGTTCAGTTCAAATGTATCCTCTATGTTGCTTGGGTCCATAATAGTTATTATTCAGTCTGAATCCCTGAAAAGAAAATTAAAGATGAACTTTGCAGAGACTTCTCAATTCCATTGCGACTTACTACTAGCTCTTTATTTCTCTATATCAATAGCAATTTATTAATTTTTAATGAACTTTTCTTTAATTCTCAGGGAAGATATCTTTGGCATCTTGGCAGGAATTAGTCGTTTTCTAGACAGTGTACTACATTGTAGTCTACAAGTTAACATGTGCGTCTCAGTGCTTTGGTTTTATTAACTTTTAACACAGGAACAACAAAAACAAGAAGTATTTTGAAAATACATACAGTTGTAACACAGTTGTGAAACAGCTTTTTGATTTAATACACACCCAATAGAATCACATTTTAGGTTGATACGCTGAATTTTGTGCTAGCAGTTTATCTTTGTTCATTAAAGTGGCGTGGAACTCCTGGTTGGGGCCTGAAATACAATCTTCCGTCTCAAAAGAGCTTGTGACGAAGCGATCTCCGATATTAGAAGAGCGGTTATACAAGTGACTGTGGAGCCATCAGTGCTGAGTCGTACGTGCTAGTTATGGGGGCTGATAAATCGAAATTGCCGAAGAAATGGGATCGTGCAGACATCAGTACATTAGACAAATACGAGAAAATTATAAACCAGGAGGAAATTAACAAATGGAATATTAATAACCCGGAAACGAGAATTGGACACAAAGGCATGGTAAAACAAGTTCTAACTGCATAGTAAGTGTCAAGATACATGTTACCATGTAAATGTTTTTACTTTGACCTTGTGTAATAACGTGATGGTCTCAAAAATAAGTGCAATACCACGACAGTTTTTATGTAATCCGCATGTCGGGTGTTTTTATAAAATACTTGGGTCAGCGTGGGTGGCAAATAAGCATTAAATGCAACAAAAAGTCCGAATGTGCAAAGTGGGAAAGTTCTATGCATGTAACCCTCAAGTAATAAATATAGATGTTTTATGAAAGAGAAACTTACTGCTTAATATGGCGTCATAAGGAGTTTTTGCAGGCTAGCTTCATTTCACATTCTTGAAGTATTGCCTGATATTTGGATTTACATCTGTATAAACTGAGATTGACCCATAACAGGACACTTTGCCTCAATTCTCGGCCTTAGCCTAGGCCGATGCCCATATACACCATTTGTCTTTGTAGTTTGATCAAACTCTGTGGGGACTCTATCTGAGTGCAATCAGCTTAACTAAACGACACATCACGTCCTGGTGATTATATTAGTACATTGAAATCAAAAGGCCTGTCATTCAGTCAAACTGATTGCATTCAGCGAGAGAATCCCCAGAGTTGGATTAATCTACATTTTGTACGTAGTTTGATGGTTTCTAATGGAATGGGGTGTTAACTGACATTCATGTAAGTACCTAGCAGGTAAGGCCAAAAACTGAGGCAACTTGACATCCTGTAGCCAGTAGTAGGTTTGTTTTTTATGAAGAATTGTGATCAGGAAGCGCATTCAGAACAGATCATTGACAATAACTGAGCTGCTGACTAAATATATTGCCTACCCCACTTAATAGCAAATGGCTTAATTCCCTGATGGTCACCCCACATCCACACACGCCATTAAATGAATAAAATTTCAGTTCCGAGGTTTACTTGCTAGGCCCCTGCAGCTATGGGACGTGTGGAGACAGGGAGCCCATCAGGGGATTAGCAGCATTGGTCCAAGTGGGTGGCCCATATTTAGTCTGCAGATCTGTTAGTCTGCTGATCAACTTGTTCTGAATTTTCACAATGAAACTTAAGTTGAAAAATGTGCAGAATTTAAAGTTCCTTTACATTTTTCTTCCAGTGTTATAGCGACAGTTGTTGCATTGTCTGCTTTGGTAGCAATTCAAGTGCATACAAAGAAAAACAAACGAGCTTACATTAAAGAGAAAAAAAGACAGAGACGTGAAATGGAGCAGAAGAACGATAACACATGACTTAGAGCTTAATATATTGCTTTCCTGCAACTGTGCTGAGGTTGTGATATGCTGAAATCTTGGAACAAAAAAAAAAAAAAAAAAACTGATGCCCATTTGTTCAAGACGGATACATCTGCATGAAAGAAACGTAAGATTTCTTTAAAAATCAAGGATTGTTTACCTTTGAACGATTTCTACTGGATGCTTTTGGTAGACTGGACACATGCACAGAGGGAAACTAAGGACAATAAAAGAAAAAAGTGGTACATAAAAATGTGACAGGGGATGTGTATTGTTGTTCCAGTGAGAAACACTGGGGAAGTGCATTATCCCCTTAGAAAAGGGCGATTTACAACCAGAAAACTCAGAATGGAAGAATAGGTTATTGGAAAGAGGGCTTAACTTTGATTTTGAAATCTGCTTAGCATATCAAGCAGATAAGTTTGAACTGTATTATCAATATGTACTGAATAAAAAGGTATGTAACCTGCATTTAAAATTCGTGGTTTTAATGGACCTTATCACATGGTGCGTGAACCATTCTGTAGCTAAAACACTTAGACTGGTCCCAACATATAATTTTGCTACTGGGAATTTTTGCTCCCTGGCCCAAGTTCACTTTCAAGTGTTTGGAACAATCAAATTTAATCGGATGAAGCAGCAAACTCTTAAAGTGTTTTGAGATGTTGTGAAACAGGCCTTTGTTTGCATATCTTTCAATGATTCTCATTTTTCAATTCATAATTTTAAAACAATAAAACACCTTAAATAAAGTACCCCGATATCAACCGAAATGTACAAAAAAATGTGGTTAAAGTTACTGGCAAGTCATTAAGAACATTTTAAAATTAGAAATGGTATACACAAGTGCAGGGATAGACTGAGAAATGATTTTCAAGTAGGAGAAAATTACTTTTTCATTCAGGAAAATCAAATTGTCAGGAAAATCCCAGATGTGGTACCTAACAATTCCATACAGGAGAGAATGACAAAGTGTATACTAAAGACAGGAAAGAACATACGTTTCAGAGAAGATGTCTTCGATAATTTGATGTTACAAATTCCTTTCAAGTGATGACTTTCAAATTTTATTCACCCTTAACGCGAGCTTCCAAAATAAAGGCTGAATAAGGCATTGTAATGTTTTTAAAAAGGCAAGTCAATTTACAGACAAATACAAAACCTTTTTCAAAGTTGCTATATGTAAATTTCATTGGGTGAAATATTGTTTAACCCTTGCCATTACTGTACCTTTGCACCACTCAAACTTTTCTCCCAGCATGGCATCGTGTAACATAGAGCTTACACAAAATTGTATTCATACATCTTTTATTATCGTTCCACTGTCATGTGTTACTTGATCAATATGGTGCAAAAAGTCTAATAAAAGCAAATCATAGACAGTTAATTTTCCATCTGTAATGTACCATTTCACATTGTGTATCTGTTTCATTTTAGTTCATAATGCTCTCATATTGTTATTACTTTGGTAGAGCAAGTAAAGTTTGCTGTCCCTGTGGGAGATAGACCACATTAGGAGAAGCTGAGAGCTGGTAGGCAATATCCTCCGAGGCCTCAATTTTTCTCAACTCGATCAAACCCTCACCAGCTGACTTGAATGCTTGGGCTATCAAATCAGCAGCCTTGGAATCGCCCTCTGCTTTGATGACATTAGCAAGTTTAGACTGTTCTTCCTGAAATCAAAATAAAGTTCTGTTAATATAATGCGTAATTTGAAAGCAATTAATTTGCTACAATATGCAATAAGACATTTTAATGACAGATGAAGAATTAAACATGAAACAAGATCCTTTGTTGGCCAATATTTCCATAAAGAAAAAAGTAACGTTTTTGGAAACCAAGTTCCCATCATATGCAGCTTGCTTACTCTCTCCACAAGGTATCTGGCTCTTTCTGCTTCCTGTTGGGCAACGGCCTTCAATTCTACAGCTTCTGAGAATTCTTTTCCAAATGTCAAATGTGTCTATTTAAAATAAAACAAGAAGATACACAATCTTGAATTGAAATGGAAAAGACTGCACAATAACTAATTTCATTTAGATGTGAGGCGTTAAATGTATCAACATGCATACTTAGACACTTGTTGACCATTGTTTACACAGCACTTAATGGCTTAGCAATAAGTCAAAGGAAATGGGTTATTTCTCATCAAATTGTTCATGTATTTCTATTGATAAAACACAAAGATTGTTAAAGATAACACCATTAACTTTTGTTATGGATTCAACATAATTTCTTAGCTATCAACAAACTTAAGTTGACATGCTCACCAAGGCTATATCATCGCAGATAATTCCAAACTTTGCAGCTCTATCCATAAGTTCTTCACTCACTTTCTGTGATACCAGTTCTCTCTGAGTAATCAGTTCACTGGCATCAAACTGGGCCTAAGGACACAACGTCGTGCAGATATTAACAAGACAAAAGAATCAATAAATAGATTTAGGTCTGAAATAAAACTTGGAGTCAGCAAATTCAGTTGAAGTTATTTTTAATTTCAGTAACAGAAACCATGCATAAAGCATAGTCAAATGATCAATATCCCATATTTGCTTATTTATGAATTTTAAATACATACTTCACACTATTGTCTACAAACATAAGCATGAGACATATTACATAACAAATCATTTACCACTACAGCCTTCAACACTTCCTGTGTAATAGAGGGCAGTACTCTCTCATCATAGTCAAGGCCCAAATTTATGAAGATTTTTGGAAGTTCTTCCTGAACTGGCCTGAACAGGATACGCAGGGTAATATTGCAGTTCTGTAAATCTAAGTATCAAATTTGAAATAAAATATTTTTGTGAGTATTTATCAACATGTTAATACTTTTTTTTTTTGCAATTTTACATTCATTTCAATTATTTGTTAAAAAAGGGTACTATTTTTAATGACATCAGAAAGGCTTGTATCTTTCCAGGGAAACTGAAAAAAGATTTTGGTACATCAATGAACTGACTTAATTTCACATACTTGGATAAAACAATTATTATGCAAGAGTGAGTCCAGATCAAGAGTAACAGATTTTAATGACTTTTGACAAACCTTTGCTGCCAGTTACAACAGGGACATTTCTTGCTCTGGACCGACAGTCAAATATGTATGGTTTCTGTACTATTGGAATCATAAAATGTGTGCCTTCACCAATGACATTTTGTTGAACTCCACGGAATCTGTCAAACATTATGGCTCTGTGTCCTCCATCAACTGAAAAAATGAAAGAAAAGTTGTGAGTACAGCTAATCATGTTACTTACACTTTCTGTGTACACTAGCCTCACCTTCACTAGTTTATCCATATGATTTCAAACATTTTGTAAATCTGCAAAGATTAACCTGTTTGTCTTTGAATATCATTTACTGAAATGTGTAAAATATAACAAAGCTAAACTTGTCTGAAAGACAATTTAATTCATCATGAAATACATACTATTTATTGAATATACTAGACATCCCAAAATGCCAAATGGTCTAATTACCATTGTATAATGCAGAGTTTATCACACTCCCCACAGCAGCCACACCAATGCCTAGATATGTCAGTCTTTGTGCAATTCCAGCCATTTTCTATTACTATAATCCTGAAAAATTAACATTCCATACATTTAAAGAAAAAGATATATCTTTTTTTCAAATACAGATATTGGTAAAAATCATAAGGCCAGGAAGAATTACTCTTGTGTCAGTGAACTATGGTGGTATTATTTATATTTTTTTATAATCTGTTAGATGTGACACTGATCTGACTAAAAATATTAAGATATTATTGCTACATACGAATGTAACCACGTATTCAAATAATTGAGGCCTAGGCAAGTTCCTAAAATACGTTTTTTTCTTCAAATCCATGAACCCTAGCCAAGGCTACGGCATTCTCACTGGAGTCGAGACTTACTAAAGAATCATAATTTGCTACCATGTTTATTAGTTCTAAAGTGTAGTTTCCTACAATTTACATAATTGCCAGTCTAAAATACTAATTTTTGTACGATGAAAATTAATCAAATCAAAAACCCGCAAAAGAGGTAAAATAAACAGTTAAATTTGTAAAGGACCTACCTTAGGTAACTAGCTCTCAAACTTGCATGTGCAGGAAATCAAAACTGCGCATGTGTGAGTCGGCATTTCTAACTTACTGCGCATGCCCGTACTACATGTGAGCTGATGAAAAACGTGGAAATTCAACACAACAAAACAGAAGTGTGAAGCTGAAGCTGCAAGTTAGAAAGAATAAGAAGCTACTGTAAAAATTTGAAGAAAGGTAAGTGTATTTCTTGGAGGCTTTTTGTTTTTTCTTTGGGTTGTTTAACATATGCTGTTTGCGACGTAAGCCTAAAAATTGATTTTCATTTTCAAACTGAAGTCAAAGTGTTGTGAGCATGACTAGTCCATTCGAAGTAGTAGTACAAGAAGTACCATTACTGAAAGAATATTTAGCGATTGTTTTAGGTCAGGTACGATTTTACCCAGAGTTAGTTTTCCGAGTTTTATTGGTATAAGTAAAACTAAATACTGTTTCATTTCTTCTTGTGACCTACAAGTAATATGTTGTCTCAGTTTCCAGCCTTACAATATACAAGCTAGGACCTTACTAAGTAAGGCTTCATAACACCCAGTGTTGAAAACTCTCAAGGCTATAAATATCAGCATCCTGGAGTAATAGTGCCCTCTGCCACACTGTGTGGAATATCATATGTGGTTGAAGTTCTTTTGCATTGGTTTACACACCAGTTTGATATTATTTAAGCCTTAGTATCCCAGCTATGCAGTAGTGGTACCACTTTTGTGTTGTAATCAGTGGTACATGTCTAAGTTGCTTGTAAAAAGAGATTTTTACACATGATGATTGTGTGTGTGATGATTCCTAGTCTTTATGGAAAGTGTATCATTGTAATTTGACTTGCAAAGTTCAACAAATGGTTCAAAGGTAACTCTTAGTTCTCATGTGCCTGTGATCACTATCATGTGTAAAGCTTCTGGACACTTCCCCAAAGTATGCATTATTTCCAAATGGCTTTTGTTATGTGGTAGTAGTAGTAGTTTGCATGTGGAATGCTTGAATGCATCACAGCTCTGTATTTTTGGTATCCACATCCCACACAAATGTCTTGGAAATTTGTGGATTTTGGATATTTTGTTAGAATAACTTTAACTTTTTAAATTTCCGGCGGACAACCCATGCTATTAGCCGGTAAGCCCAAGGACAAAATACAAGCTTCAGGTTTGGCTCTAAAGTCCTATTGAAGCATACCAAGGGCAGATTCTTTCACATGCTATGGCCTATTCACCAGTTTTTTATTCTTGGTCTCTGACTTTTTAAAATGTTTTATTAATATGTTGCTCCCCGTTCATGTCATTACTTAGGCTTTTTATGTTCAAATTTATTTACCTAAACCATCTGCACAATGTTGCCACATCAGCACATTCAAATGCATAATTTTTCAAATTGATGCCAATCTTAAATGACCTACCTAATTATCACAGAAGGTGCCACCTAAAGAGGTTGACTATCAGACTGAAATCTGTTTACATTTATGATGTGGAGACTGTAAAAGCACTAAGTGTGACTACGCAAGTATGCAACAATTAGTGTCCTGTGATCTTATCTTTTTTTTTTTTGTCTATATAGACCATTACAGACAGTGAGTCTTACATGTCTAACAAAACTGCTCAGAAGAAATTTTCTGGCCTTTTTACATTGAGTGTTATATCCTGTGGTGAAGGTGTACTGATATACTTTGATAGGTAAAACTTATAATTAATATTTTTTTCCAGGTAGCACCACAAAAGTTTCATTATGACAGATACAGCAAGCAATGGTGGTGGTGATGCACCCACAGACTTAGAACGGAAGATTATTAAACAAATAGAGGTATGTTACTTATATTATTGAATAATAAGTAGTACATGTTTGTATGTTTATAATGGTGATCTACTGACAACTTTCCTTGAATATTGATTAGGTTTTAATTTCATCTTGGTCAATCAGTGTAAAAAAAAAGCCTTAAATAAATGTTTATAAGAAATTGAAATGAGTAGATGTTATGAAATGAAAGTATGTTATGTGTGGTATGTATGAAATAATAAATACTTTCTTATTTGATCTCCCAGTATTACTTTGGGGACCTCAACCTGGGCAAAGATAAATTCATGCAGCAGCACATCAAGGAAGATGATGGATGTATCCTTTCAATATTAGAAATCTCAGATTAACTTAATTTAGATGTATGTGGGAGTACTGTTGTTTACTCATAGCTGCTTATTTTTTGAGCAAAAAATCATCAGGTGGACACATTTCTTCATGATGAAATGTTCAATTTTAGAAACTCTGCTTTGCAAATTTTGTGAAATAAGAATTATGAAGCCAATACATTTTTCCTTGACATGTTTTCAAAGGGATCTCTTTAGAAACACTGATAACATTTAACCGCTTGAAAGCACTCTCCACAGATTTTGAAGTTATTTGCAGTGCGTTAGCTAAGTCTTCATCAGGTCTTATGGAGGTAGGTACAAACTGTCAATTAGTCATAGGAATCTAAAAATTAAAAAAAAAATATATGCAAGCAAGTAAAGCGTAAACTTTGAGATTTAGTCATCATATTTTTTCTTGTGCCTTTCCCTTGTTTGTAACCTATTTGTCCTACTTCTTTACAGAAACATCAACTCAGCATCCTGATAAAGATTAACCATTTATTAATTGTTTTACAGCATCTGTTAACAGTTAAAAGTTTGGGACACAAGGAACTATTGGAGATTTAATTTCTGTTAAATCACTTTTCATAGTGTTAAAAATGATATTTTAGATAAGTGAAGACCATAAGAAAGTTAGGCGGAGTCCATCTAAACCACTTCCATCACAGACTAAAGAACGCAAAGAAGATATGAAAGCAAGGAGTATTTATGCTGTAAGATTTAATCTTTATTTTACATTTAAATTTGTTGTAACCTATATTAGGGATTATTATACATATTTATCCAGCTAACAGGATGGTGTTAAAAGATTAAATTTTCTTCAGCTGAAAAATAAGTTGTTACTTTTTAATTAATTCAAGAACATGATTTAAATGCAGCATTTGTTCTTATCAGAAAGGATTTCCGGACACAGGTGTTGACTTGGATCAGCTAATGGAATACTTTGAAAAATATGGAGAAGTTGATAATGTTTTCATGAGGAAAAACCAGGAAAGAAAATTCAAGGTAAGAATAGAAAGGTGTCTGCAGTTTGGTGATTGTGTGCATTTTAACACCCATTTGTGTATGAGGAAATCTTTCACTCTAATTATCAGTAAGAGTTACTATTCAAATATCCTGAGTCATTGAATGTGGAAGAATGGGAAAATTGATCAGAACCTCATAATGCCAAGAACCCATTCACAATTATAATATGTATTTTTGGTGCTCTACATTCTCTTCAGGTGTTTGATTAATTGTTTGTTTTTTATAAATACATCATTAAGTTACCCGATCTGTTTGTGTTTCAATAGGGGTCCGTGTTTGTAATGTTTAAATCACTGGAAAGTGCAGCGAAGTTTATTGGAGAGGAAGGCACAAAGTATGGTGACCAGGAGCTGGTCAAATGCTACAAGTAAGTTGGAAGGGTGTGGTATAAACTGCATAAAAAGTTTGTGATAAGCTGTTACCCTTAAAAATTACCCAACTGTAGTAAATTTCTTGGATATCTGGATTATTAACAAAATTTTGATTTAAGCCCATTTGTTTAGTTTTAGACTGATAGTTATTTAAGTTGAAAACAAAACTTAAAATTTGCAATTGATTGAAAAGTAATGATCATTATTTTATCATGCATTTTATACTTACAGAGATGATTACTTTAAAAGGAAACTAGAAGAAAAAAGAGTTAAAAGACAAGATCAGTTGAAAGAGAAAGAGGAGTAAGTATTTTGATAAGGAAGTGGCTTCACACAACTCATAAGGGTGATGCTGGCAATTTATGAATGCAAAATAATCATTGAGAATTTAAAATATCTTTTCAGTGAACCTTAGGTAACTAGCTCTCAAACTATTCTTTCAAAATACTCTACCCAAACCCAAGTACCCAAACCAGGGGTTTCTCCAGGATTTGGGGCACAGGGAGTCCAAAATGTGAATCTGTACTTTGGTCATGGATTTATTGTCCAACCCAAGCAAGCACAACAAACCAACCCCAATAACTTTGTAAGCTAGGTGTACAGCCATGTTTAGAAATTTAGGCTGTCTTTTGAGGCTAATGGCCAGAAGGCTCTCTTAGGAAAGCTTTGACCCAAACTAATTTCTATATCATTTTTGAATATAGTGCAATGCAAACAAAATTTATTGCCAAAATTCACCATAATGAGTTTCTGTGTACAATCTAATTTTTTAAACCAACATGTGTAGTATGAATTTTATTTAGACATAATTTAGTTAAATTTATTGTTAATTTGTCACGTGGTCAGGTAATTTTGATTTTAAAAAATGGCTACTTTACCGGAAGTTGTTGTTTGGACAGATGGACTTGCTTAGTATTCTTATCTTCCAAAGTTACAAATAATTTGTTAGATAAAGCAGGGATCTGTTAGATTTCTAAAATTTCGTTTTTTACAGATTCTTATTTCTGTATGTGGAAAATACCTTTTAATATCTTTGTAACTTTTTAGTCATAAAGATCGTGTAATTTATAAATCTAATGTTATACATTTTTATTTTGTCAGACAAAAACAGAAACAGTTGGAAGAAGAGAAAAAGAAATTAGAGGAGAGAATAACAAAGGGAGCAATATTGCACTTGACAGAACTTGCAGACGATGTTGTGCGGGAGGACCTGAAGAACTTTTTTAATGATCATGGCAAAGTTGCATGGGTGGACTTTGAGAAAGGAGACAAAGAGGCGAGTTGATGTATCCTGCTGTCATATATTATAGTATTTTTGTGATGAGATGTTATGCAGTGAAAAGTACTTCCCTGCCTTGTGTTATAATGATGTTTAAAATTTTGGCAAAATAATGTTCGGTGGTGTGATTTTGAGTTTTAGTTTTAGTTTTTTTAAGTAGAAGTTATTTGGCCAAACCATCTAGTGAGTAAAACATAAAGACATGAAGACTGCATGAAGAAAATAATGTGAAGAAAATGTACTTCATATGGATGAAAAAGCAAAGGTTTATAACATTATGTTTGAAGATAGCAGCATTATATTTTTTTTTCTTTTTGCAGGCCTTTGTGCGTTTTGGAACAGGAGAAGCTAGTGCAGCTTGGAAATCTGCAATGGAAGCTGGAAGTGGAACAGTAACTGTTAATGGTGCACAACTTAAGGGAGAGGTTCTGGAAGGTAGAGATAGATTTTGTTTTGTTCATTAGAAAGGAGTATAAAGCTAGTCATTTTTAAAATGCAAATAAGATTGTCATTAGTAATTATCAATAAATTTTGTGTAAACATGGAGCCCATACTGTTGAATTTTTAAAATCGTTCTACTTTTTATTTTCTGAACAGGTGATGCAGAGTTGGAACATTGGAGAACAATTTTTAAGGCGCAAGCAGATATGAGAGATAGGAAAAGAAAGGGAGGCAACAAAAACTTTGGAAAGAAAGGAGGAGGAAAAAAGTTTCAGGTATTATACTGAATAAAATTAATTTTTACATTACCATTTTTTCTAATGCCCTAGATTGAATGCAAGTCATTTGTGTTGTCTCATTCATATTTTAACGTCACTGTTTCATTTATTGCTTCAGAGCAAGAAGAAATGGGGAAATGATAATAACAGTGATGATGAAGGACCACCTACTAAGCAACTCAAGACTGAATGAAAACTAGGCATTTTAGGATTGTTTTACCAAGTATTTAAAGACCACTTTCAGGGGGTTATAATATAAGCAAAGTCGCAGAGCTGGCAGAAGATGAAGTGGTTTTATATTGAAATGAATGGTAATATATGAGAAGCATCTTTTATGAACATTCTACATCTTCACTACAACCAAAAAGACTAAAGAATATGGGGATGATTATGTCAGACCTTGCACAGTGTACATAAAAATACTCTTCTTGTGTACAAAGATCATTGTTTTATGAGCACTCTGTAAATTTTTTAAGTAAGTTTTTTTTGTCAGCCATTGATCTTAATTACAGTTCACAGTTTTAAAAGAAATGGCCAAGTGCTGCCTCGTACATGTCAACTTTTAAGGAGAACTGTTTTAAAATTCATTTTATTACCTTGCAAACCCCCTTTGTAAGGTCGAAGTAATCTTCTGTTTTCGTAAACGTTTTCATGCATAAGTTTTTCAGTGGTGCCGTTATAAGATGGAAAATTAAAAGGAAATGTTAAACTACTTTAGTGGTAAATATCAGGCATTTTGCTTAAGAATATTTTTTATTTTCTTTGATACAATAAAATATTTTAAATAAACACAATGTTATTTTTTATAACATGCCATGAAGGTTTACAAAAAGCACCAAAAAAACCAGCATGGAAATAATCTGTGCATTCACACTAATATGCTCTTAACAGTGGAGTGCTTATTTTAAGCAGCAAATGACATGTTCAAGTAAACACCTGTACCAGTACCATCCCTTAACAGCAAAGTGTGGGAAGCTTGTTGGTAATGGTATTGAACTTACAATATTGAAGAACAAATATACAATTCTAGTAGCATTAAATACATACAACAAAATGGGATTTCAGTAAAAACGGTGTAGATAAAAATACAATACCTTAAATGTAGGATTTTTCTAAATGTGATAAAACAAGCATATTTAGGTTGATGTCAAGATTGTTTGATCCTCCTGTTTCATCAATCTTATTTATTCTGCTTGGAAAAACTTGCCGAAATAAGGTTTATAAGCCCATGCACATTACATAAGAGATCAATACCTTAATCTAGCAAATCACCTCAAGTACATTGCTGAAGCTAGCAGTTTCTTGTGATTAAATCTTACAACAAAGTATTGGTTGCCAAATTCTATGTTATACTAACCTCCAACACTACTAATATAATTGGCTCCATTGATTATTTACTCAGAATTCATTGGAAAATTCAAATGATGCACAATTGTTACTCAATTTTTCTATTACCACACTGTGCTGAATGTGGAGAAATATGTTGGACAAAAAGAGTTCCCTCAAATGAAAATCCATCTTGTTCACTTCTGTTTAGAGATTCACCAACCATTGATTACAAACGATTGTTTTACGTTCAAGAGTAGCATCACATTGCATAACCCAGCACATGATTAAACAGAATGCTTTAAAACAATATTTTTTCTAATCAAACACTGGATCAGATGCGAGAAACCTTTAAAAAATGCATATTCATAAAAACTTCTCTTTTTATTTGTTGAAAATCTGTCGATATTGCAATTTTTATATTTGAAATATTAATATATTTGGCAGATCGCTAAAATGTGTTCCAAGTCTTAGCTACTAAATATCTCATGCTAAGATATAAACAATTATCAACATAAAACTATATAAATCTGTCAGCTTATATTACAACTGTTATAAAAACAATATAGATCTGTTCAGTGTTATAGTGCACTAACAGCTCTCTCCCTTCTCATCTGCAACCTTTCCTCTTCGGCCTCCATATGATCAAGCTCCCGTTTCATTTGACACAAAATGCACGGCTTACAGAATAAAGAAGCACAGAAATCCCCCAGTATTGAGCCCTATGAAAGAAAAATAAACCAAAATGTCACATTTTTGTTTTGCTTGTGAACTTGCATTACAGCCTACATAATCTTAATTGACATCTCAAGCAGATTATTTCATACTTGATGCTATTTAAGGCGCTCTGATAGAGCCAGGAAGTGTTTTAACCAGTCTATACTTTGACTGACAACACCTATCAGGCTCTGGGGAAATGTGTTCATATATGGTCAGCATAAAGCATACATAAGAGCATAAAAGATATATGTATGGCTTTCCTCACAGTATATACTGATTGATACTTTAATAATACTATGATAATTCACCCTTAACACTAGAGGTTCTGAGCTCTTCTCCATACTGGGCACTCGTTCACAATGATAGGCAACTGAAGGAAGGTGTGATACATAATTCATTAATTTACCCAATTAGATAAAATACTTTTCTTTAATTTGTAAAGGGTAAAGTTGATGATACAAGTAAAGCATTCAAGTTCAGTTGATTTACCCAAATAAAATGCTGGCAAATATCTTCCCTTGTGTTAAATTACCACACAAATGTTGGGTATTTAATAACGAGATATATTTATTTATCAAATATCCACATTCATTTATATTGAGATAATCGTACTAACCAATCTGTGTTATCATTTTGTTGGGCTAAAATTGTCAAAATTGATTATTTTGACCGAGTGCCACTCAACTTAAAGGTTATACTGGACCAGGTGGTAATTACGTTTTAGAGTGAATTAATCAAGCAACTTTCTAGACAAAATAAAGTCAGACATTTAACATACTGTTTTTCAGTGTTAGTGGCTAAGATTGAGCCAAATTAAATACATAACTAGATTTTCTAGCAATGGTGCCTCATCTAATGAATAGGCTTAATTCAGCTAAAAGGTTTCTTTTAGGGGAAGCCTGGTAAGGCTGTGTTATTAAAAAAGTATCTGGGAGCTGTTTCCAGATGACTATCCAAGCTCCAATCACTGCTTTTAGTTAAAAACAGATAATTATTACATCTAATATCTGCATTGTTGCAATCTTGAAAGTTCCCATGTTTTCTTCAAAATTAAAGATACTTTATAAAATGGGCAGTGGTCTGAGGCTTTCTTTAATTATAATTTAAATCTTCATGCTTGTTATCCACCTTAAAGTTTATAAGGAACCAATTTCACTGATATTTTAATGCTTTTGCTTCTCAAAACCATATTTAAGCACTTATTTCAGTTTTGGTATTAATGAGACAATTTAAGTTAAAATGTAAAACAATGGATCCGATATACTAAATATCAACAACGACATAAAACATTCCAAATTTCATTACACATCTGATAACTTAATCCACTTGCTCTAAACATGCTTAAAAAGGAAAATGATCACTTGATATCATATAGAAACATTACCTATTCTTTTTTTTTTTTTTACTTATCATATCTGATTCATCATCAAAATTAATACAAACATAATGACAAATAATTTCAATTCAAGTGCTTTTTTGCCAAACCTCAGGCAGCTGATGAGTCACAGAAAAGTGCTTGCCAATCTCAATGTGCTATGTCTCACCTGTATATTGTACATCATCCTCATCTTTAACCTGAGAGACATTGTAGAGAAAGGAACGCACCACGGCATACAGCAACCCTCCTTCATCCTGTCTGCCATCCAGCATTCAAAACACACCAGGCAGCAACAAATTGCACAACCTTAAACAAAGCAAAATATTTAGCATTACTTTCAAAGACAAACTGCAGCCTCAAGATGAAAACCTGCAAGTAGTAATTATTTCCTAAATTTTAAAATGAAGGCTCATGTTGTCCACCCTCTATTCTTTTACTGCATCCACACACATTTTTATCATTGTTTTCAATGTTTTCACATAAAAGTTAACAGCTTATTTTTTCTGTATATAGGTGCTTTCACAATGAATCTATGGGCACATTCAGAACAGCAGACTAACAGATCTGCAGATCAAATATGGCAACCCACTAAAAAGCTTGCCACTTAATTCCCGATTAGACACTAAATAAATTCCCAGTGGGGATTATGCAACAAGTATTCAAGTGGGTCGGCCATATTTGATCTGCGGATATGTTAGGCCACATTCAGAATGGATGATCCGAGTACTTACTGATCCACCAACTAAATATGGCCGAACACAGTTTAAAAGCAATGCCCCCCGATTCCTGATGGTCTCCCCAACTCGACATGCACCTTTAAACAGATTAAATCTCTGCTTTGAAGTTTAATTGCTAGGCCCCTGCAGCGACGGCGCATGTGGAGGCGGGGAGACCATCAGGAATCAGCAACATCACTTTTGAACTGTGGTCGGTGGATCAGTAAGTACTCAGATCATCCACTCTGAATGGGGCCTTAGGGCACATTCCCATAGACTTTAGATCGATCTATCCCTGTGGGGAGTCTCACTAGATTACTCTCAGATAATCCGGTTTAAATGTCCGTCCCGCCTACTACAAGCTGTAAGGGGGTAATTAACTTTCGTGCCCGCTCGGCTGACAGCTATTTAGCGTGAACCCCCAGGGAGTTAGGTCGATCTTAGTTGGATCGATCTAATCTCTGGGAATGGGGTCTTAGTCTGCTGTTCTGAATGCGCTCTATCGTACTGCATGTAGCTACTGTGCACTAACTCTAAAGGAACTCTGATTGAATACAATCAGTTAAGCAGATTAAATTAGGCCTCCTCTTGTTTCAACATACTTGTAGGACTGATGACAATCAGTTAAGCAGATTAAAAAGCCTCCCCTTGTTTTAACATACTTGTACAATCACCAGTTTTTCTGAGTTCTACTCAATGCCATGTGTGTTAATCTGATAATCTGACTGCATTCAGGAAGAGTACCCGTAGAGTTAGTTTGCAGTAGCTAGTACGATAGATTCATTGTGAACACACCCAATGATGTTTCTGACTGAAACTACTACTACTAGAAAGTTAAATATCAAAGTGTAATATATTCTTCCCTTCTAGACTAACAGCTTGTCAATGACATTTATGAAGAAACCACTGAAATGTAAGAACTCTTAGGAAGAACCACATCAATCAGCACTATACACTATACACTACCACAGCTTTTGAGCAATTAAAGATATAAAATTGCATCTCAATAACAACACATTTTCAAAGAAGGCCTATTGATCTCTGAAATAAATGAAATTTGATAACTAAAAAAAAAAAAAAAAAAAAAAAAAAAAACAATTTTAAAACAATTTGTATTTTCTTTGTTATTTTAAAGTAGTACATTCACAGCATCAGTTACATCTATTTTATGAAAGCAGCCTAACATCCAGAATTTTGTCACCAAAATGTGTTTGTCTGTCTTTGTAGTTGTTTCCAGGCAATGTAATTCCTTTTCTCAACCAAACCTTTCTCAAGGTTTTTTTCCTGCCCAAAAATTTAATGTATTGGTAACTGTAACTTAATTAGTGTTCTTCATAAGTGTGTCTCCTTAAAATCTAACAGATAAATTGGCAAAGTAAGGGAACTGTCTTTCTGTAAATAGGTAAGATTAATGGACAAGATAAAATTAACAAAGTTTTTGCCCACAATATAATTTAATAACTTGTGATGCTTACAGGCATTGGTGCCATCACAACATTGGCACATTCCAGAATTCCATGGTCTTGGTTCCTTGTCTGTCTCAGTAGAATATTGGGAATTGTGCCAAGATTTTGGCTGGGTTGACACTGGAGGGGGTGATGATATTTGAGTTGTAGGATGTGGTGCACGCTGTGGAGCAGAGGAGGCCTGGAAGAAATGATGCATTTTTTTGAGAATACTAATAAGAACTAGATCAGGAAGTACTACAGCATGTAAAATATTCATAAATTACTATGAACTAATTATTGCAATAGGTCAAATTAAGACTCATGTACATTTAATTAACCTTTCTATATAATTATTCTCTACATATGATATGTGTACTGCAAATTGTCAAAGCAATGTCATCTGGGTGATTTTAGAAATGTTTCTGTGATATCTTGTTAAACTGCAAACTCATGATTGGAAATCATCATTTAGCTATGAAGTTTACAAGCAAAACATTTATTTTGATATATATGACAATATTTGTGATGTATAATATTTTGATGACCTTGGCAGCATTCTTCCTTCTCCGAAGTATAACATACAGTTGCTGCCTTAATGTGTTTTTTGGTCTCTATCTTATATCTCAATTATAATGCCAGCTGCAATTTTTTCACATTTTCATAACCGACAGGTAAACAAACAGTAAGTGAACTAACTCCAAAGATTTACCCTGCAGGAATTAAGATGCAGCACCAGATAATAAGATCTTCAATTAAAGCACATCTAGAGACCCAGTAATATAATTTACAACTGTCGAAGATAAGAGAATTGAGTGACATACCATGTTTGACACCTGTGTGAATATATACCTCAGCACAGTATGGATTACACTGCATTCAGATACCAGTAGCGGCCTCTAAGCCTTGGAGTGTATAAATTAGTTCAACTGTCTTAGCAAACCTTAGCCATCTCCATCTTCAGGCTTAAAACAATGAGGAACATCTGCCCTAAAATAATATTTATGTTCCAGTTCTTGGAACAACTTGGTGTAGTATTTAATAATAAATCTAACTGGTGTACTGTCTGGCAATGGCATTTTACCAAATGGAAATGACAATTTATATTTTCCCAATACAGAAAAATATAAGCTTTCAGAAATCAATGTTGCATTTTAACTATGATGAATCATAGCTTGGCTTTTCCTTTTAACACTTAGAAGTCTTGATACAACATCAATTGCTAATGCTTAATTTCCTTTAATTTAACTGCAGTTGTTTTGCGATTGATGGCATTAAAATTTCATGGCCCATTAAAAAAGCTTTGAAATGGCTTTGTGCTAAATGCTAAATGGGCTTCTAAAATGTGGAAATATTGATAAAATTAACTAGTTTATTCAAAAGGAATTCACATTAAAAAGTTTTATGTCATATATATTTGTTCATTATGCATTTTATAAATTGTTGGTGGTAGATTGAAGCATGTTTTTCTAAATCCATTTTCCTGATGGGTACCACCTTTATTTGTTCAAATCTACCTGTCAAATGGTCACCTTTCATTTTAACCTTCAGTAGCATTTGATTCAAATAAAATTACCACTTTAAAATTTCTACGTAAATGATTACTGTGTTTAGATTTTTTGCCTTGAAAAAACAGAATGTAACACAGTTAATACACTTGCTTAAAGGGATGACAATGAGATCTATATTTCACAATAAATACATTGTAAACAATTCATAGAAATATAATATATATTCTATTTTATCACAAAAAATGGCAGTTATAGCAATTAATCTAAAATCTGTGCTTGTTAAGAGATTATTACAAAAAAACATCCATAGATGGCTATACTCTG